TAAAGCAATATAACTCTTTTTTGGCAAACTATGTACTGGTTAATGATATTTTTTTTGTCGTCTAGATTTATCTATATATACATTTTTGAATCACTTTTAACAAATAAATCCTGGACTTGGAACTTATTTACAATACAATGCCATTGGCATTTAATGTTTTAACAAAAATTTTCTCAAATCTAAATATTAATCGATTTTGTTACTAAAATTTAGGAAACTAAAAGAAAAAAATTACAAAAATCATTTAAATTTTTCCTAATTCTTCATTAAAAAAAAAAATTGTTTTAGTTTTATGTTTTATTTTTTATTTTTTCATATGTTTGATTATGTTTCTTGCCAATCAATCATGTTTGTTCAATACAATATCACTCTTCTTGAGAAGATCGAAATTGATTTTATTTTATTTTGAATCACTTTTTGGAGAGTATGATCTTCCTCTTATAGTAGTTCATATGTAGAAGCCATCCATCACAATTAAAAAAAAAAAAAAACACTCCCTAAAACTTTCTTTTCTGATTTTTTAATTCCGGCGTTCTAATTTTGTTTTTCTATATACTTTTTTCTAATTTGCAATTGTACAAAATAATTATCACTCCCTAAAACTTTCTTTTCTGATTTTTTTATTCCGGCGTTCTAATTTTGTTTTTCTATATACTTTTTTCCAATTTGCAATTGTACAAAATAATTATCACTCCCTAAAACTTTCTTTTCTAATTTTTATTAAATTTTGTTCTTTTTCTGGTAAGAATAAATTGTATATGTATTACGTTGATATTACTAATTCAAATAATGTTAACAAAATTGCCCAAATATAGGCTATATTAAAAGAAAAAACAGTTAGTCAAAAACACAAGTATATCAATCCCAAGTTATGATTAAACTAAATATTTATTTATAATATTTTTTACCCAAAACAATAAATTTATATATACTAAAAAATTTGAAGTACCTTTTTTAAAGTACTTTTGTGTTAGTAAAGTAAGAATTTACAAAGAATGTCATCACATTAAAGTCAAAAAACAATTATTATTTTTGAAATATTATTATTGATATATTTTAAATTTATAAAACATTATTAATTAAAATATCATGATACGAGTTATATAGCGGGACGGGTTTCGATTAATATAACATGGGTTATATCTATACTTTATTATTTTATCATCACTAATTTTTTTTTAGTTACAACATTAATATAAAATTATATAACTTTAATACTAAATTAAAAACCATAAAATTTAATATTTATTATATATATGAATAAAACATTTGCCCTGTGGTGTACCACGGGTTAAATCCTAGTTATTAATTGCAAATTATGAGAACTGTTATATAAACGATTCTACAAATGACAATTCTTTCCGACCCTTACTAGATTCACGACATACTACACTTCTTTCTTCGTAATTTTGATGAATACCTTCAATGATCCACGACCTGGCCACACTTCCTTCCCTGCGTAGAATCCTGGCGAACGGCTATAATTGTACATCGCTGGAGATCTCTTGCACACTTGCCTCCATTAATCTGCAAATTTGTTAATAAATCGCAATACCTGGGACTCGAACCCCAAACCTCTTGGTGTAGAAGCATTAATCAATCTTTGGTCAACCAATGAGCCAAGGGGGCTTCCACAGTTAATGATCTTGTAATGATTTTTTTTTTTTTTTTTTTTTGTTAATTACATTCTTTTTAGCAAGTTTGAAAAAGAACAAAAAAACTTCGTTTAATCTTTTCATCTTTTGTACTACTCTCCATTTGTGATGTGTGATACATTACTCAATATTTTCACTGTAATATTTGCACACCAAACGATTCTGTTTATACATTAGCATAAGCGTTTCACAATGGTGACCGATAGCGAAGTAACCATCAATGTTTTTCTTTTTTTGTTTTCTTTTTTTTTTTCTATATTTTCTTTACTGGTGACCCACGTGAGGGCATTCTTCGGAAGGAACAAAAAAAAAAAACTCGACGTGGTCAATGGCCTATCAAATCTCAAAGTCTGACCTTAGAGAGGCTTTTGGTTTGGTCTTTGAAGCCATAGAAAATGGAAATCTTTTTTTTTTCTTTCTTATGATATATATTTGTCTTCTAATACAAGCGTGCATGTAATTATAAAAAATTTGAATTCGATAAACATTATTTCTGAAAACTTAACGACATTATACATCATCAATTTTATCGTTAGAGGTTAACCCAATGTGATATCTTAATTTTCCATTCACTAAACGTCTAATCAATACCGTATAAATTTAGTCCAACCCACTAACTTTAAACTCATCATATAATCTATGTTTCCTATAATGATAAGAACTCTCGTACAAGCAAGTGAAGAGTTTTATATGATTTATCTCTCTTATCAGAAACGTATAAGATTATTTTAGGTTTTGAGTGGTAGTGATCTTTTCTAGATATCCAATACAATTTTGCTTTGGTTTTATTTTTGTTTTCTTAGTTTAGCAAATATATGAACTGAATTGCAAAAAAAAATCTTGTACTATTCGATTCATTTTTGCAAACGGTCGCATTTAGTTTCCTAACAAAACACATATATCTACTTTTAAACCATAAATTTTTAATAATTACAGGCTGTTTTAAGATGTGTACTCATATGAAAAATTAGTTTTTATGATTCTACGCTGTTTCAATTACGATTATAGTTTATCAGTATATAAAAATTACAACAAAAAAAGTTCGTTACTTTATATCAACAAATTTCAATCCAATCGAATAGAATAGAATATTTTGTTTTTAAAGCTAATTAGATTTGAAAGGCTATTGATGCATGTTTATCCATCACAAGTTTTAGTGTTTTACATGTTTTGCTTTCCTAAACAGTAGACACCCTTACAATGTATGTTTTGAAAGTCCCATTTTCAATTAAGAATAGTTAGTGGCAATTAACAAAAAAAATGGATGTTTGGGAAAAAGCCAAATAGCAAAGAGCTATAAACCGAAAGCCAAAATTATAGAAAAGCTTCGAGACCTTAATTTATTCGAGTCAGAAATCGCAACACCAATTTAATTTTAATTGATTCCACTAACTTTGAAATCAGTTTTCTATATGTTAATATTGAATTGGTGTTTTTTTTTTCTTCTTTCAAATTGAAATTTTCTATGTGTTTAATGATAAGGTCCGAATCCGATCAAACATGCGAGGGTATTTAAGATTTTCTTATATGTGTTCGACTTCACAAAATATGGATAATGCAGTTATATCATTGATAATTTAACCATATCATTTTATCAAAAGAACATAATGTTATATAAAGAAATATAATTACATAAATCCAGAAAAAAAAATACAAATAATAATATAAATTTTATACAATCATCAATTAGTTTTGAGATGAAAAATTATGAATCTCCATATGGTAATGAATGAATCTACTATAACAGTAGATTTGATAGAGGACCAGAGCTTTAGAGGTGCCGCAAGAAGCTTTTCGCTTTGGAAAAAACAGTGAAATTATAGACATACGTGTGTGAGATAAGTACTAATGTACTATTATATGTGTTCTGCTAAATCTGATTATTTCTTATTCTACTTAAATTTTTTATTATTATTTAGAAAAGCTTAAGAAAACAAAAGTTAAAAAAAACTTGCATTCTGATTTAATAAGTAACTAGATAACAACCCGTACGATGTGCGGGATGAAGTGATTCAAGTAAAATTATTATGATTAAAATTATTATCTGGGATCCAAGATTCGTTTGTGTAAAACGAAACATGTTACAATTTTTTTTTTTTTTTTTATTCAAATTTGGGACTATTTCATATAAGAATATGTTTTACCCATGAAATATTTGAACCTTGAATAAAGCTTCAACGTGATAAAAAAATATTGACGAAATGTTACTATTTATGGCAATATGTCTTTCCGTATGTTTTAAAGATTTCGAGATTTTGTAGTATAAAAAGAAATTTTTTTTTTTTAATAAGTATAAGAAATCCAAAATTTAGCAAAGATGATTTGATAGTTTCCAAGCTAAGATTTTGTAGTGTTCCAAATCTAAGATTCTTAGATTATGAATCGATTATTTACGAAATGATTATAATGTGGCCAGATTTTGGTTTATATACAAATGTGGTTATAATGTTTATCTTCGAAAAGTTAGAACTCCTCCAAAAATAGGATTTTAAGTATTCGTAACATATATAGAAAGGAGATTATCTTATTTATTTAAGTAAAAAATTTATGAAAGATGTAAAGATTTTGTAGTTTTGAATTCGAGATTCTTGATCCAAATGTATATATTTTATTATTTAAATATAAACATAAATATAAATATAAATAAAAATATTGTTTACCCATCCGCTAAATAAAATTTATATAAATGTATATAAAGAAAAATATAAATATAAAAATATAGTAATATAAGATAAACAAAAAGTGTATGTTTTTAATTATTAATGGGATATATGGATGTATGAGACTAATGACAAATTTTGTAAATAGTCTAATAAATCTTGGGTAATTATCTAAATAGAAACCAAATCATTGTAAGAGCGACACATCAACGTGACAATTTTGTTAATAACACATGATTGTAAGGTTTTTTTGAAAAAATGTTTCTCTATTAATATATAGGGGATAGATTAGCCATCTTAGTTACTTGCCTTTTCTTTTCTCTTTTTATCAAAACTTCTTCCTAGTTGTTTACACGATAAAAAAAAAAATCGATAAAAACAAATTCATATCATGTTTTCTGTCTATAATTCCATGATATTTTCATTTACGCCAGAAATATTTAGCTTTTTGCAGTATTTGGAACTAATACGAGTGGTTAACACTGATAATTACAGAATGGACAATCTTATCCATCTAACAAAAAAATTATGATAAAGAATTTTACATTCACCAACCTTTTTTGATGATAGATAGTTATTACGGGTTTCAGCTCGGAACCTCCTGATATTACGGGCTTTTGTTTTTTTCTGAATATGTTCTTCCTACTGTATGCCTACTATTTCTTTCATTATACCAACTGGTGAAAGAAACAATCACAGTTAAATGATTCGTAGCGGAGGATGTGGTGGTACCCATTCAAATTAATCCTCATATGTATGTATCATATTGAGACACGTGTTATGGAGAGCAAGTGTCCGTAAAATATAAACAAAATGAATAACATGTCACTGTTAACATTCCTCCAGCCACTATAAATTCGAAGTCCCGATCTTTCCTTAACATATGCTCGTTGAGAGCTAGCAAGATAGTTTCAGTATCTCTATATATGTAACAATCACACCTGAGCTAGAATCTTTAACTTGCCTTCTCCTCACATTTTTCTTCAAGATTTCCTAATTAACCAGGAAAGAAAGAAGATTATTGTTGTTTTTTATAGAAGAAATTTATAACGATTGACAGGGAAGAGACAGTGCTCCGGGGAACAAGCCACTTCAAGGTTAGTAATATCCGGGAACGGTGTCTCTACTTTGACCTCAAAAGAATCTATTGCATGTTATTATGCTTTGTTATTTATGCCTCTAATTAGATCTGTCTTAAAATATTAATTATACAATTAATCCAGCAGGTGAAGTTGAAGGAATTTTTATAAGAATGAAGCCATGCATGACGGCTCTAAGGCAAGTGATTCAACCCTTGTTGAACTTCCAAGGAAACATGGTCGATGTTCCGTTTTTCCGGCGAAAAGACAAGGTTGTTTTCGTTATGGGCGCCACCGGAACCGGCAAATCTCGTCTAGCCATTGACCTAGCCACTCGTTTCCCGGCGGAGATCGTAAACTCCGACAAGATTCAAGTCTATAAGGGTCTAGACATCGTGACAAACAAAGTCACTCCTGAGGAAAGCCTTGGTATCCCTCACCACCTCCTCGGCACCGTCCACGACACTTACGAAGATTTCACGGCGGAGGATTTCCAGCGGGAAGCAATCAGAGCCGTTGAGTCAATCGTCCAGAGGGGCCGTGTCCCGATCATAGCTGGTGGTTCCAATTCTTACATCGAGGCTCTGGTCAACGATTGCGTTGACTTCCGGTTAAGGTATAATTGTTGCTTCTTGTGGGTCGACGTCTCAAGACCGGTTTTACACTCTTTTGTCTCGGAGCGAGTCGATAAGATGGTTGAGATGGGTCTCGTCGGCGAGGTTCGCCGCATCTTCGATTCGTCTTCGTCGGATTACTCAGCCGGTATCCGGCGTGCCATCGGAGTTCCAGAGCTTGACGAATTTCTCCGGGCGGAGTTACGGAATAATCCGGCGGAGACGACGGAGAGACTTCTTGAAACGGCGATAGAGAAAATTAAAGAGAACACTTGTTTGCTTGCGTGTCGACAATTGCAGAAGATTCAAAGACTTTACAAGCAGTGGAAATGGAACATGCACCGTGTCGACGCGACGGAGGTTTTTCTCCGACGAGGAGAAGAAGCTGATGAGGCTTGGGATAACTCAGTGGCTCATCCGAGCGCACTCGCCGTCGAAAGGTTCCTTAATTACAACGATGACCACCATTTGGACGGCGCCAATATTCTCCTACCGGAGATCTCCGCCGTTCCACCTCTTCCAGCCGCCGTGGCGGCGATTTCCCGGTGAGGTAATAACAAATCAATCGACCAAAAGGGAAGTTTAAGAAAGAAAACGATAATAATGCCACGTGGCGAGATTGGTCGGAAAGAGGATATAGCCATGATAATGCCACGTGGCGAGATGGGTCGCTGTCTCGGAGAAGCTGATGACCTTTTTATTCTGTTTTATGTTACTAAAAAAAAGTGTGTTACGGTTAAACGGAAAAAAGATCAGTTTTGAGGGAAGTGAAGTGCACGCGCGGGGCGGACACAGACAAATGATTCCCTTATAATTTTTTTTCCGGGTATAGTACATTAGGGGCTAGGGTGTGATGCGGAATAGTGTACGGTTTATACGGTGGATTAGTCAGGTTTAAGACAAAAGAAGTCGTTGGTCAACGCGGTTTTGCCAAATAAAAAGGAATAAGGATCCAATTCCAACTTTTGACGGCGGATTGCCGTCCGATACGTGTTTGGGTGACGTGATGTGGTTAAATTATCCAATCAAACGGCTGTGAAGTGATTATTGTTAATACTTAATATTATTGTTTATAATCGTCTTTGCCCATAAGCTTATGTGTAATTATATAAAAAAAGAAGAATGGATTTTCACTTACGATTTAATTAACGCTTCCGATATGAAAATTATATATCCGTGAGGAAAATTATATATTCGAAGAGAGATTCTTGTGTGAGTTGATGCCCACTACCCACCGCCACACACCCAAAATATGAATACATGCCTTTTTCGAAAAATTGGCATGGCTTTAAATTCTAAATTTATTCGTTCGATTTATAGACTTTTTTAATTTGTTAATCAGAAAATTCTAAAGTCGAAACCAAACTAATCTTTTTATCATTTACTAATAACTCAGATTTTTATAAAGATTTGCCGTTTATATTGTTGGCATACTCGATCCAAGACTTATACGTCAAAGAAAAATCTCCACTATTCTAAATTTACCATATGATTCCTTTGTTATTATTTTCAAAAGATTCGTAAATTAAGATTGTTGGAGTGTGTTGCTGTTAGATTAAAAAGGAGTTTCATGTAGTTTATGTGTTTCATATATTTATTTCAGTGGATTAGTTGGCTGGAGTAAGTTGAAGGAATGTATGTATAAAATATAGTTGAAAATAAAATTTTGTTAAATACTTGTCTTGAATTATATAGCTCAATGTCGTCAACTCCTGTAAATTGTCTTGTTTGTTGATTGTTACGTGAAAATGCAGAAAACAGTGACAATTGTTTTCAGCGTTGTCGGATCAAAACTTAAATTTTATTGACTAAAAAATAAACTATTGACCAAAATTGTCTCCGTTTCTGTCTTACAAAATCACTATTTTGCACTATTACAAATATGTGTATATATTTTTTTGGTAAAAATATAAATTTATCATTAAAATGAGAAAATGAGAGTTTAGGATTTACAATAAGTTAAACCTAAGCAACAACAATTTTTCTTGGGGGATTACTAGTTTACTACACCCAAATCCAAAGGAACATGTAGTTTATTTATCCCTTACTCCGTTTTTTTTTTGTTAATTTCATACTCCGTTTTAAGAATTACGAAAAGAAAAAGTAGCTGAATTTTGGTAACTAGGATATGGTTACCAGTTGCATGCATTGAATTTGAGGGTAAATATACTAGAATATGTAACATGTTACTATGTTGGTTTTGCTAACGATCAATATCGTCTACCAACATGCGTTAGGCTTTAGTATATTAAGGGCCTGACTGGTTTAAACGCAGCGGTTGCGGTTGCGGTTGCGGGAGTTTGCGGAACCGGGCGGTTGCGGCTTTAAGCGTTATCAAGCGTTTTGAACGACTGGTTTAGCGTTTGAAAATTAGTGCGTTTGCGGGAGTTTTATGACTGGTAAACCAGCGGGTGCGATAGCAGTTAATAAAAAAATGACCAAAATAAATAAAAAATATTTCAAAAAAAAAGAAATAAAAACACCAATATATTATGATGATAATATTAGAAAAATTGAACATGCTTAATAATTAAAACCATAAATAAAGTACTAAATAATTATTCAAAAATAAAGAAATTTTGTAACAAGATAGTACTTTATGCATGTGGTTTAACATCAAAAATTGCATCAAGTAATGGGAAAAACTGTAAATAACGTTGAATTCAATCAAAAAGCAAGTGAGTTTCCATTCGAGAAAACAAATCGAAACATATATTCAATCAAAAAGCTAAGCAGTACGTAATGAAAATAAAAAAAACGATGCCATGAAAAATATTCAAAAAGTTACATATGAGGTGATAAATGAATAAAAGGATATATGATACTTACATTTGGTTATTAATTTTCATCAGTTTGGATGGAAAACATTGAGAGAATAGAGTTTCAGAATATTATTAGGGTTTCTGATGAGAACGTGATACAAAGTGATACAAAGATGAAAGATATATATAGAATTAATATATATTATTATAATAATTATAAGTAAATGTTTAATTTTTTTTTTTTAATCCAACCGCTACCGCCCGCAACCGCAAACGCTTGCGGGAAGGAGCTTTTGAAATTCAGCGATTTCGAGCGGTTCGAAGCATGACAGAGCGGTTTCTATGATTGGTACCAACCGCTAACAACCGCAACCGACCGCTAGCAACCGCTAGGAGGGTGCTAGCGGGATAACCAATCAAGCCCTAAGCTTAGCTACCATTAGATAAATATTTTTTTGTTGTCTTTTTTATCATAACTAAAATGCATTTTTGTTGAGGTATAAATATTGTAAATTTGTAATAATTGGACCAAAATGTGGGATGGATGTCAAAAACTATTCCCATTAGGCAAGTTGCTTTAGAGTTTTGAATGCCTCAATTATTAGGCATTGTCACGTTAGATGTATTCGAGTCACAAGCTGTTTTTCATAACAATAATATATTTTTCCAACATTTCAATTAGTATTAGTTTATTTATCTTACAGCTTTGTATAAACGTGTCGTCAAAGAAAAACAACTCGATATCAATTGGCATTCTTGAATTATTTTCATTTTCTTAAGCGAATATTAACGTGTGATTTGACTAACTCAGTTTTATTTAAGCTAAGTAAAGTATGTTCCACTTATATGTACTTTCAAATCAGTCATTAAAGACATATACTTTTTCTAATTTTCGTGAGTTATTCTTATATGAATTATTTATGTAAGAATATAACTCACGAAAAACTGTTATTTGGAAAGGTGCATGCATTAGTCAGTTAAGTCTCATCATCTTTGAAATTTAAAGTAAAGTTATGGGCAATGATTAATTATGTCTATAAGACAAGTTGCTAATTATCTTTATTCTCATATGCTATTGGTGGAAGTACGCAGTTATCGTCTAATTTTGAAAAAAACATTGCGAATGGGGGCAGCTTTTATAGTAAGTACGAATCTTGATTTTCGACCACTACAAGATTTTACTTTTTTTTGGCTGAGAAGACTAAAGAAATATTGATGAGATGCGTTTGCGATATTTACATATAAATATATATATATTTTTTTTTGAATATCAGAAGGTTCTGAACCAAAATTCGTAATCCTCTAAACCCGAAACCACAACATGTAATAGTAGTTTCGTCCCAAACGTCACTATTTAAGAATTATATTTGTACAATAATCACTAAATTCTTTTTCAAAATCATAAAAAAAAAATCTTTATTTTGGTTTTTAACACAAAATTGTCTCTAAATTCACATGTTTCTAACGCATCACAAAACTCATCACAAAAAGTGTATCAAGATGTGGTTATACATACTAGATTATGTACCTGCTCGTTGCGCGGGATTTTAGTTTTAATTTTTTTTATCAAAGTGAATCTTTGAATATAAATCTAATCAATTAAATTTTAATTTCTTTTTTACTTTTTTTTTTTCAATTTTACTTTATTCATGTACATTATCTTTCCAAAGTAGTAAAAACATTCTCTCACTTTTCACTACAATTTTTCTCGTTATATTCTATGATATACTCATCGTCTCCCGACATTGACTCTTTTTCACCTTATATTGACTCACATAGAATATACTCAATTGTGAATTAGTTCTCAAGATAGATTGTATATCTTTTTTCCTTCATATCTTTGAATACTCAATTCTATTTTAAACGTTGCATGATCTTTTTACTAAAGTAACCATCAAAAAATCTGAGAAAATATTTTGTCACAAAGTTTCTTTAGCCATGTTTTAGTGCATGTAAAATTGTTTTATAAAAAAAATATTACATATAAAAACTCATTCTTATATATTCACAAACATCGGATTTTAATATCAAATTTTTTCACTTTATCTTGACTGTTTGAAAAATACAAAATTCTCTTTTCTAAAATATGTAAATTAAGAAATCATAAAAATTATTCTAGTTTTTAAATACGTTCATTTTTATAACAAAATCATTGTTATTTCGAATTTTCAAATAGCATTCTCAAATATTATTATTAGAAAGTTTTATTATTTGAGTAGATTATTTTATTTTTATTTGTGATGTTTAGGATAGTTTTTTGTTTTGTTTCAAATCAGCATCATTTTTTTCAATCTATGTTAATTTCTAAACACTGATTAATAATTAGTTTTTCTTTCTTAGGTATTCATTTTTTATATAGAAAATGTTCACTTTTTAATTGAAAAACATTAATAATATAGACAAATTTATTACTTAACTATTTATATTATATTATAATTATAAATGATAATATGTATTCATTCCTTCTTATTTTTTAATTGGTATCATGAATTAATACTTTAAACTTAACAAATATATTCTCAAATTCTAAATGTGTTTTTAAAAAATGAAGTACTTTTTTTAGTTAGGACCTTTAGATTTGGTATTTTTTAACTCTTATTTTTTTAATTCAACTAAATAATTATAACTCTTAAAAGTGATTGTTTTAAAGTTCTGGACGTTTGTTATCCAATAGGTTTTAGTTCGGTTCCATTCGGTTCTAGTTATTTTGGTTCTAGAGTTTAGTATCTATTCGGGTATTTTGAAATTTTGGTTCGGTTTCGGTTCGGTTCCGGTTCTTTCAGTTTTAAAATTTAGTATCCATTCGGGTATTTTGCTTTGGATATTTTTGGATATTTCTGTTATTTTTGAATATTTTGGATACTTTTCGGTTATTTTCTAGTATTTTTATATAGTTTTGAGATATTTTTGATTATTCAGTCTATAAAAAACTAATATTTTTAGATATATAATTATATTTCGGGTACCCGAAATATTTCGGATCGGTACCGATTCGGTTCCGGTTCTTACGGTTATAGGATTTAGTATCCATTCGGATATTTTCAAATTTTTGGTTCGGTTTGGATTTTTTTGCTCCGTTTCCGCTTCTTTAAATAATACACGTAAATTATGATACTAACTTACGATCTCATATAAATTACTCTAATTTTAAAATACATTTTTAATCCTTAATTTTTACTTCTAATTAAAAACTCTTCAATATACCATTACTATTCTAATTTCTAAATAACATTCGAAAATATTATTATTACACAGTTTCTTATTAATATTTCATAAACACTGATTAATATTTAATTTTTCTTTTTTAGGTATTCATTTGATTAAAATAAAACCCACCAGTTTTTAATTTATAAAACAGTGATAATATAGAAAGATTTATTAATGTAACTATTTTTATTATATTATAATTATAAATAATAATATGTACTCAATCTTTTCAAAAATTTAGTATCCATTCGGATATTTTCAAATTTTTGGTTCGGTTTGGTTCTTTTTACTCCGTTTCCGCTTCTTTACATTCGGTTCAGTTAATTTGCCCAGACCTTGTTACATTAAAATATATCATAAGTTTCTTTTTCCTAACTCTAACCATTTAAAAATATTTACTCATTATATGTTCAGATATGATTATCTAACTTTATATTTCTCTAATCTCAATTCAAAAGTTTTATATTTTCTGTTGTATATTTATTTTTTCGTTTTTTCATATTTAATTTATTTTTTGTAAATTATTGATTTTTAATGAAAAGTAATAATTGAAATGTGTGAATTAATTTAGTTTTAGTTTTTGTTTTAATAAATAACATATGTGGAGCCCACAAAAATAATAAAATGTGATGACATGGATGCTGATGTGGACACCTTATATGGAGAGACAATTCTCCCATTATATATATAGATGTCAAGTGGATTAGTTTGATATTACTAACGGGAAAATAATAAAGAAAATACTTCATCATGTAATATCTAATTCAACAAAGATAATTAAGTGATTTTAAAATATCAAAGAATTGTTATATAGTATATACTACTTAATATCTTGTCAAATTTAAACTGAACATATACATAATATATACATGAAAAAACCTAATGAACATTATTAGATTAATATTACTAAACTATTTATGTCTAGATATGACGTCCTCCGTCGTAACATGCGAGGAAGAAATCTTAGTTTCTATCCAAGATTTACTTTCGCTTAACGCTTGGATTATTAGAGGATCCATGTAAAACCCAAAGATTAGTCTTATGAAAAACACATTAGTTCATGGGATTAGATTTAAGCACATAAATTCATATATCTTTTTATAATGGATATCAAAGTTGTTAACCTAAAAAGTTGATGGCTCTCCTCTTTCCCCTTTTATGAAATCAAATCTATAGTCATTGTGTTCTTGGTGACAATCTAAATATCATTTCTTCTTTTACATTTCTTGTCCAATAAAACTCAATGAACTATCTTATTTTCAGTTTTAGATTTCTAGTTTATTAACCTCATTTGAACACAAATCTATCTTGCTTTGGATTTGCTTTCATGTATGACTAGATCCGGTAGTTCCAAACTTTGTTACAAAGTCGGTACAAATCTTCTACTCACTCATACTAATCACCATTTATCTACCGGGCATAGACCTCACTCACTAGACCGTTCATTTTTCGACTATCTCCATTTCTTGAAAACCAAAACTGTATAACAAAAGCTTGCTTCTTATGGGCCAAAATATTAGGCCCAAATTGTCAGATAAGCCTATTGGTATGTTAATGAGCCGAAAATAAAAGTATAAACAGATATCATCAGAAGAAGGTCGTCGTTACTTCTAAGGTTTTGTCGCCGACGACAGAGATGGCACTGTCTTCATCGACTTTCCAAATTCCGTTATTCAAACACCAATTCTTCGAAACGTCTCAAAATCTGAGAACACTTAATTTACCGACGACGGAAATTCCCAGAAGGTCGTCATTTCACACGGCGCGAAGCAAATCCTGTTCTCCTCCGCTCCGGACCATTAGCTGCGTCGCCGGAGACGATGGAACCAGAGAAGCATCTTCTCTTCCTACTCCGATCTCTTCGGTATTCGTGAAGGGTATGTTTTGATTTGATCCTTCCTCTTTGAAATTCTGTTCCTCTACTTAGGTTTTACGAAATTGAATCCGTTTCCACTATTAGGGTTTTCGGATTCAGTGAGTGAAGGGCGTTTGAAGAAAGTCTTCTCCGAGTTTGGACAAGTTACCAATGGTGAGTCTATCTGTGTCTCTCTCTCAGCCTTCTTCCAATAGGATGATTCAAATACAAGCAGCACCATGAATATAGTCAATAGCCTAATTTGAACCTCATTGTTTAACTTGGACTGTTAAATCCTCAACGAGGATGAAGCTTAGGGAGAGAATTTGTTATGTGAATCAATGGTTTCTCTTCAACCTCTTGAGTCTTCACTGTGATAAGCAATGGTGTCAGTGCTTCCATTGTTTCCACTCAGTGATATCAAAAGCTCCTATTCTTATTCGGACTATAGCTCAGAGATGTTCTATACGAATAGCTGAACTGTTTTGGTGAGGCTTTTGTTACCATGAGTTGTGGTCCGAATCAAAAACCAAGATAAGAGGATGGAAGATATGTGCTTTTGATATCACAAAGTCGTGAGGAGCAGAAGCAGCAAATGGAAGCTCTGAAACGAATAAACAAGTCCTCATGAGCTTAAGAGAAGCCATTGATTTGCTGAAAACTTGGCTGCTTTTATTTGTTATATTCTCGTCTTTAAAAAATGAGAGAATTGTGGATTACTACAACTTCATGTATTCATTTGGCTAAAACGCCCATGAGCTCCCTTGTTTCATAGTATTCATGGTGGAATCAGTGGCTAGATATTATTTGTTGTTTCTTAGCGTTTTTCTTTTCCTTTCATATAACTGTAAAACATACTAGGTCGATTATATTAAGCAAATTTTTTTAATTATAACAGCATTAAGAGTATCAATAGGTTAGCTTGATTAAGGAATTTGCGAATCACAGTCAGTCAGAAACCAGTACAATCTTATTTTCTTACTGTGGAGCACTACTTTTTTGGCAGTAAAAATCATCATAAACGAAAGGACTCGGCAGTCTCTAGGATATGGATATGTCTGGTTCAACAGAAAAGAGGACGCACAGTTGGCTGTCGAAGCCATGAACGGAAAGGTATAAAAGCTTCTTTGAAATTCAATTTATCCTCTGCGGTGTGGGTTTCATACTTTGGTGTGTCTTCAAGATCCTTTTGACCAAACCTAGTAGCTTGGTCCCGGTAAGAACCCGAAAGCTCTCGAGGATGCCCACCAAAACTCGCCTGACGAGTAGCTTGTGTTCTTGATTTCAGATTGGTTTTAAATTATTGAACAAATAACATGAAATTGTTGTTGATACTGGTTTTTGGTTTAGTTCTTTGATGGCAGGTTCATTCTTGTTAAATTTGGTCAGCCTGGATTGTCACGTCGCCGGAGACCACATTCCGGTTTCCTTTTGTAAATAAATGATCTTAACATTTATTCCCTCTGTTCCTAATTAATCCAAGCTTATATTGTTTTGCAAATCAAATTAGATATACAGTATGTGTTAATGTTTTTAAGTTTAAAACTTTTTAATTTTGTTTATAATATAATTTCGGAAAGAAATACTTCCTCTGTTTCATATTAAATGATGTTTTAGACATTTTATTTTGTTTAACAATATAGGATGTTTAGGAAAACAGTTCAAGTTTCTATGCAAAAAATTAAATTTGTATAATTTGTGACTATTTAGATTCTGCAGTAAAGCATATCATTGGCCAAATTATTTTTAACTATTTATTAAATTATGTTTTAATGTAAAATATCTAAAAACTAAAATAATTAATTAGTTTTTTAAACTTTGTGCTTTTAGGTAAAACATCATATATTTTGAAACAGAGGGAGTACTAGATTCTTGTGTAAAAAAAATCGTACTATACATTCTATCGGTCGAGCAGTGTCCATGTCGGCAACTTTATTCCTGTTTCGTGTTGTGTAAGTTTTTAAATTAAAAAATTTGAAATAAGTTTTCCAAAATGTTTCTCTAGCTAATTAGTAATTAACTTCTCTCGTGACTTATTTTCAAGTATTTATATATTTCACAAAGAATTCTTCAAAAAATTAATTTTATTTCCAAACCTATACATACACAGAGACTTACATGTAAAAGAAACCGGCCACCGTCGTCCTCCTCCTAACATGCTCCATCTCTTCTTCGTCTGCTCCTCCGCCGCCTCCACCACCACCGCCGCAAAAGAAGATTCCACCAGCATGCCCCCATTCTCTAGATCCACCGCTAATCAAAGCTCCTCCTCTTCTCTCCATCTCTGCAAACATTCACCGTCAGCGACTCTCGACCTCTTAATTCTAATCCTCGTCCTCTTCTCCGGCACATTCCTCCTCTCCTCTTACTTCTCCTACCTAATCCACTCCTTATCGCTCCTCTCCTCTCATTTCCCTTCAATCACCATCTCCATCTCCTCTCTCCTCCCTCCTCTAATCTTCTTCTTCTCCTCCGATCACAACACCGAAGATGAAGATCATCATCCCTCAGGAATAATTCCACCTCCGGCATCGTTCTTCTTCGCATTCGCTGTCTTCTTCGCGGCGTCAATTGCGTTTCTGGACCTATGTTGTGGTTCAAGGTCGAGGAAATGTCGTAACCGTAAGTGTAAAGGAATGAAGAAAGCTATGGAGTTTGATTTGCAGTTACAGACAGAGGAATGTGTTAAATCGGGTTCGGTTAAAGAGATTGATCGGTTACCGTGGAAAGGAGGTAGTGAGAGTAATCCAGATTATGAGTGTTTGAGAGCTGAGCTGAGGAAGATGGCTCCGGTTAATGGTCGAGCTGTTTTGATTTTCCGATCAAAATGTGGTTGCCCTATCGCTAAGCTTGAAGGTTGGGGACCTAAGAGAGGCCGGCGTCATAAAAAGTAAGTTCCTTTCGAACGCATAATGTTGTAGTTCTAACCCTTGCAAGAGTCATGTTTTTGCATTGGTTTGTGAATCTTGGCCACATTGGTTTAGTTGGAACTTGGTGACTAGTGAATTTGTAGGTTCTGTTAATCCTGTTCCTGCTACGTTTTTATTGCCGTTGATCAGTTTGAGACCAGTTTGTAGTGAACATATATGTTTATGTAATCCTCACTGGCTATAGATGTTAGACAAGTCTTTAGGCTTTGATACTCAGTTTCTCATCGATAATGGTGATTCGGCTTTGTTATTCCTCATGGTAGGTTGGCTTATTCCAGTTGTAATGATGAACGGAAATGTCAAGTTATGGATAGATGAGTAGTTTTGTGGTTGTTTTAGCAGATTGAATCTTGTTTTTGAGAGATGAAAGAGAAACAATTGAACATGGAATCTAGTTGTTTGATGTAATGTTTGTATGGTAGCCTCTATCACCATAACGTTATATTGGTTGAGAGAGTTAACGCACATGCAGCCATTATCATGGAACATGTGCATCCTATACCAGTTGTGATTCGAAATATCCCCAATTTCACTTATAAGTAGTTATGTAATAGCTCAACTCTGGATAGTGAGATGCTAAAAGATTCAAACTTGAGGATCATGTTTAGAATATGAAGTAATGGGTGAATCAATTGCAACGAAGGCGGGAAATGTTTCTTCTGACTCAATGACCTTTTGTTCTAACATGACGCAAGCTGCGTTTGAATGAGTTATTCATAATTTGCCATAAACTTGTCTTCTTCTTATTTTTTTTTCTGGTGAAAAGTAGTTGCACACTCTAGGACAATATGGATAGCTTCGGTCTAGCTTATTACCTACCATAGAGGAGAAACAGCCCATTTTTTAGTTGAAGTAACTAATACCTTTATTTAAATCTGCTGGTGCTTTGCTTTCCTGTTTTCTTGGTGGTTTCTAAATTCATCATAACTGCCAATGGTTCTTGATTATAATAAAGCTTCAGGATTCCATTTTTGATTCACTGTGATTAGTATTTGATTTTACAATCTTCTGTTGTGTATCTTACTTTGTTTGCACGTATATCTCTGCAGATCGCCGGCAAAATTAGCTGTAAAGGGATGTGTCGACAATCGCTGATCCGGAAACTTCCCAATCTATACTTACATATTATCACGTTGAAATGTTGCAGTTGCAGAGATTCTTCCTCTTCTTCTCGGATAACATTCATTTAGGATTAGGAGGAAAATATAAAATTATTGATTTTCTCCATTTCCTATAGAGTAAATCCCTGAAACTCAAATGTCTTATTACTCTCAAACACCTCCTCTGTGGAACTTATATACTAAGAAAAATCCAATTCGAATGCCTTTTGTTGTAATTTTGAGTCATTAATTCACATAAAATAATTGTCTTTTTCTGAACAAACCACAAGAACCTTTACATTATTGCTCTGTGCGCTTTAGAGGACGAGAGAGAAGTATAAAAACTCGAGCTTTAACTTTTAGCTTTGTTGCTCTCATGGTCTCTTATGATCAAATCGATTATTTTTCTCTGTTCTCGTCGCTGTCGGGTCTTTTCTTCTCAGCAGGCGAGATATTTCTCCTTTCCGAGTCTGACCCACTTCGATTTCTCCGGCGAGAGTTCCAATATTGAACGAGCTCTTGTCTCCGCTCTTGGATCGTGCGCGTCCAGTAATGACGTCACTTGTGGCAGACAAATCCATGGCCGTGTCTTGAAATCAGGTCATGATTCTAATGGATTCATCTGTAATAGTGTTCTTAACATGTACGCTAAATGCCGTCTCTTGGTCGATGCGGAATCTGTTTTCCGGGCTCACGCGAAGCTTGATTCTGCTTCGTTCAATATTATGGTTGATGGGTATGCTAGATCTCGTAGACTTGGAGATGCGCTTAAGTTGTTCGACGTTATGCCTGAGAGAAGCTGTGTCTCGTATACTACTTTGATAAAGGGTTATGCTCAAAACAATCAGTGGAGTGAAGCTATGGAGCTTTTTAGGGAGATGAGAAATCTGGGAATTATGCTAAATGAAGTGACGTTAGCCACTGTTATATCTGCTTGCTCACATTTGGGTGGGATTTGGGATTGTAAGATGTTGCATAGTTTGGCTATTAAGCTGAATCTTGATGATCGGGTTTTTGCTTCGACGAATTTGCTGCTTATGTACTGTATCTGCTCATGTTTGAAGGATGCTCGGAAGTTGTTTGATGAAATGCCTGAGAGAAATTTAGTTACTTGGAACGTGATGTTAAATGGGTACTCAAAAGCTGGACTTATCGAACAAGCTAAGGAATTGTTTGATCAGATTACTGAGAAAGATATTGTCTCGTGGGGTACAATGATTGATGGGTGTCTCCGAAAGAATCAGCTTGACGAAGCTCTTGTTTACTACACCGAGATGCTGCGCCGTGGAATGAAGCCTAGTGAAGTTATGATGGTGGACCTTCTCTCTGCTTCAGCTCGATCAGTAGGCAGTTCCAAAGGTTTGCAGCTTCATGGTACCATCGTGAAAATGGGTTTCGATTGTTATGATTTCTTACAAGCAACGATCATACATTTCTACGCTGTCTCAAATAACCTGAAACTCGCTCTTCAGCAGTTTGAAGTGAGCGTTAAGGACCACATTGCATCGAGAAACGCGTTGATTGCAGGATTTGTGAAGAATGGAATGGTTGAGCAGGCAAGAGAAGTATTTGATCAGACTCGTGATAAAGATATCTTTTCATGGAACGCTATGATGTCGGGTTACGCGCAGAGTTTATCGCCTCAGTTAGCTCTACATCTCTTCCGCGAAATGATCAGTAGTAGCCAAGTAAAACCAGATGCAATCACAATGGTTAGTGTTTTCTCTGCAATTTCTTCTCTAGGATCGTTGGAAGAAGGGAAAAGAGCGCATGAGTATCTAAACCGTAGCTCGATTCCTCCTAACGACAATCTGATCGCTGCTATAATTAACATGTACGCCAAATGTGGAAGCATCGAAACCGCTCTAAACATTTTCCACCAAACAAAGAACATTTTTTCTTCTACAATCTCTCCGTGGAACGCCATCATTTGCGGGTCAGCGACACATGGCCACGCAAAACTAGCACTTGATCTCTACTCGGATCTCCAATCTCTCCCAATAAAACCAAACAGCATCACTTTTGTCGGTGTCTTGAGCGCCTGCTGCCATGCAGGCCTAGTGGAGCTAGGTAAAACGTATTTCGAAAGCATGAAGAGCGATCACGGGATCGAGCCAGACATCAAGCATTACGGATGCATGGTTGATTTGTTGGGAAAATCTGGGAAGTTAGAGGAAGCAAAAGAAATGATCAAGAACATGCCGGTTAAGGCTGATGTGATGATCTGGGGGATGTTATTATCGGCTTCACGGATTCACGGGAACGTCGAGATTGCTGAGCTTGCGGCTGCTGAGCTGGCGGCGATTGATCCATCTCACGGAGGATGCAAAGTTATGCTATCGAACGTTTATGCAGACGCAGGGAGATGGGAAGATGTAGCTTTGGTTAGAGAAGTGATGCGAACAAGAGATGTTGAGTGGTCACGTGCCTTCAGTGGTGTTGTGTGAATTGTTTTGAGTCTCGTTGGCTCTTTAGTGGGCTTATTGTTAGGGCCTAGTAGAAACGAGTTAAATACATAATTAGCGCGTGGATTACACGGTTAATCGGTTGACGCGTCTGTACTTTGGTCAGCTCGTGTTTTTGTATGTGGGTTCTACTTCTACCAAAGCTGAGCTCGCTAGTTATTGCACAAACGAAAGCGCCGAATTTTTCTAATTATGATGCAAACCTCGGAATCTACCTAGGATTTACGTTTCTTGGTCTCTTGGCTTACGGCTTGAATGATTCGATGGATGATGGTAGAGATGAAATATGTAGGTTTTGTCGAATGGATCTACACTCAACACGCTTGATTGAATCCACAATCAAACTACGAACAAATCAACTTGAATTCACAAGCTAATTGATCCGCACATACACAAGATTTTAGTGAATCCACACTAATTTCTAATGCATAAACTCAAAAACAAACTTTGAAAGAAAATACTTTTCTGATTAATTCTTAGATGATGGGTTAATACAAATGAAAACAAGGTTGAGTTTATATAGGGGCTCAAGTGTAACGTCTATATGCTAAAATAAAGAAAGAAATCGCAATAATAAATGAAAATATGGCCGTTGGAAATTGAATGAGGGAATCGGCCAAATTAGAAAGATTGTGATGCCTCTTGAGTCTTGATAACTTGGGCAAGTAATGATGCTCTTTTGGGACGTTCATATTCATTGTAGGAATCTTCTGGATGCACCAAAGATGATCAGAATAGTGCCGTTGTGATTTAATCTCATACGGCTCCGGAAAAGGAAAGTTATGGCTCATCGGATTTTTGTGTGGGAAGATGCAGCTAAGGTTGTGTGGGACACTTTCTAGAATATTTAGAGTATCTCCTAGCTTCCATATATGACTTTGAGTCGTGCACAAAATAAGGAAATGATAACTTTCCTTAATTGGCACAAGCTGGCGTGATACAAAAAGTACTTCAGGAAGCCCATCTGGAAGTCCTTCAACGAGTCCCTCACCAGGTCGTTCAGCAGGTTCGTCAGCTATAGTAAGATCAATGTTGGTATTGATTCTTACGTCAAATTATTTCTTAATATTAAAAATAATATAACTTTTACTTAAAAGTAAAGTTATATAATTTGAATCTTTCTGTTGCATTTCAATGTTCAATCCTGTGGTGGGAGTCAATCCGCAATAGAAGTTTTTTTACTATCTTTCCGTTAGATCGTAGTTTACGTACATTATCGACTGTTAAAAAAAAAATTGGTCAATATTCAAAGATTTTCATTGAAAAAATGGTTCCATCTTAAAAAAAACTTCTATGAATTTTTTAAAGTGATCGATTTATTTTGTGTTGAATTCTATAGTAAACCAACCGATATAAACTAACCGAAAAATTGATAATTGCCAATTTTAAAATTCAATATATCCCCGTACATTTTAAGATGCAATTTCAAACTTTATAAGAGGAAGACTACACAACACTCTAAGAAGAACTGATCGAACAAGTCGTTTATTGCATCAGTTACTATTTTATAAAATGGTCTAGATTGAACTTAGCAAAATGATTTTCGACGAATTAGCCACTGCTTTTTGTAGACAGTAGAATTGAATTGGTATACACTTGTATGTCTATTTTATATGTCATTATACGATTTAGTAGTATGATCTTAATATGTTTGTAATGAAATGAATTTGAGTTTTTGAGATGGATCAAATTTTAGAGTTTGAAATGTTCAAAAAGAGATTTTTTAAAAAACCTTTTTAAATATTGATGGGCTGAATAATACGCTCTTTAAGAAACATTCAAAAGTTTACTTTTTTTAATTCCTTTTTTTTTTTAAAATGCAGAAAAGAATCAATCATTAGAGAAGTTAACAAAAGAAAAGACAATTATTAGTCCACATATTAATTTTTGGTTATGATACCTAATAATAAAAGTCATGTGGTGCACATGGACTTAAGCATTTTCACAGTTCTTCGTGGCCATTCGTTCTTCCTTTGATTTCTTTTGGGTTTGTTTATTAATGGTAGTATTTTATTATCTGAAAATGAACGTATATTTTTGTTCTGTTTTATTAAAACCTTTCTTATCAAGGCTGTCTATTGTTTAAATTATTTGATATCGTTATAATTAATTCTGTGTAATTATTGATTAGTTGGCATGATACATTTTAAAGTAAGATACAAATTAAAGAAAAATATTTGGTATTAATATGAGCATAAGAAAATCAAAATAATTGTTTCAAAAACTAGAGCGCATGTTGGATAGATTAATTTATAAAAGGTTTTTTGTATTGTTGTACATAATTCACACATGTTATCTCTAAATACTTAAATATCTTCTTTACTTTTCATTGTTATCAATCAAACTCGATTTTGAAAATAAATTGATTGTTTCGAAGTGTTATAGGTATTCATTAACTATGCTCAAAATACAAAAAATCTAACTATTCACTTTTAATTTTTAACTGGAATATCTAAATATACCAATCAACAAAATATTACAAGTGCGGGACGTTTCTTTTTATTTTTTGGGTTGTGAGTGCGGTTCAATTTTGTTTGTAAAAATTGTAGTTGGCCCGTTACAGTAAATTCTCATCCTATTTGATGTGTTTGCGTTATGTGGTATCTACAGTCTATAGAGATATGTGTAATTTAAAAAATAGAACTTGTATTAACCATTTATTTAATTATACATGTTATTTTGGTTTGTTTTATTTCTTTGTCATATTGTTTTTTTTTTAATATATGATATATAATATGTATTTGTATAACCATATTTATTTAAATTATGTTTAAATACTTAAAATATTTATGAAAAACCACATGTATTTAAATAATTAGTTAAAAAATATTCAAAAAATTAATAATACAAATATGTTATAGAAAAATTAAAATATTCGAAAAATATTTTTCTGTTGTATCATATTGTTTATTATGAAATTTTTTATTTAATATATATATATATACATATTTGAATGTTTAATTAAAATTATTTAACTATAATGTATATCCCGCACCGCTTTTTGTTTTTTACCAATCAAATATTATTTCGTACCGCTTATTTACAAAAACCGCATTTGTTCTGCATACCGCACGTACCGCAGTTGAACCGTACCCCACTGTCATACCGCTTTCTCCGCACAACAAAAACCGCGGTTACCATTCGGACCCATAATAGTTGTCGTTTTAGGTTTTCGATGCAAATGTTTTGTAAAAATTCCAGTTTTATCCCTACTGTTTTAATGTTTCGGTCAATAATCTTTTTTATAAAATATATTAATAAAGGACAAAACAGAAAATTTAATGTTTTTTTTAATATATGTGAGAAAACCTTAAACGATAACTAAAACAAAACGGAGAGTAGTTAATACAAAAATATCCACACTATTATATTGGTCGTTTGGACATTATCCAAAAGCTAGATTTAACACAAAAGTCGCAAGTACCCATAATAAACCTGGGGGCAAATTGGAATTTTCGTACAACGATAATCAGACTCCACTTATCCACTTTTTCAATTATCACAAAAAAGAAGAATAATAAATTAATATTTATTCTGTTCTTCTTCATCTCATAGAATTTTAGATCTCTCTCTCTCTCTCTCTGCACTTTCTTCTACACAGAGAGAAATAAACTTAGCCCCTTGGTCTGCTTCGTGAGATTCAGATCCTTTAAAGAAACTTGTTTAGCTCAGAAGAATCATTTTCGGGTTTTGAAGCATAAAGGCTTCTCTCGACTTTCAAAAAACTGTCTCCTTTTTCTTTTTGCTATTTCAAGCAGAGATTGATCGAAGAAGATAAAAATCTCGTCTTTCTTCATTCTCAGTGATTGATTCTCAAATTACCCATCATCTTACTTCTTCTGATTCCTCAAATCTCGATTAGGTATTCGTTGTTCCACACCAGAAACTACCCTGATTTGTTTCATTCTCTCTTCTATTCGATTCTGGATTTAGGGATTTGGATATTGAGCTCTGGGTTTTGACATTGCCGTTGGAACTAAAATTCTTGGTTATATATTCGATTTTTCAGTCTTTGCATTTCTTTGATTCAAAGCTTACTAAGTTCGGTTTTTGGAAGAGATTCCATTTGGTCTTCGTAAGCGTGTTTTGGATGCCCTGTAGCTGAAGATGCAGCCTGATCAGCGCAAAAAGGTCCAATTTTTCTATCTCTTATGTGTCAAATTTGCTTAATAGAGAGATATATGAGATCCGATTAGCTTACTTAGGATCTGTCACAATCCTTGTACACTATCACTGCCTTTTTTAGTTGAAGTCCTAATCTCTCTCTCTTTCTCTTGAAGCTTTTGATTGACAATAGATTTTTCTTTATATTCAGTCATCAGTTGAGGTAGATTTCTTCACAGAATACGGTGAAGGAAGCAGATACAGAATAGAGGAAGTTATTGGTAAAGGAAGCTATGGAGTTGTCTGTTCTGCTTACGATACACATACCGGAGAGAAAGTTGCGATTAAGAAAATCAATGATATTTTCGAGCATGTTTCGGATGCAACTCGCATTCTCCGTGAGATCAAACTTCTCAGACTCTTACGCCATCCAGACATTGTTGAGATCAAACACATCTTGTTGCCGCCTTCAAGAAGAGAGTTTAAAGACATTTACGTGGTTTTTGAGCTCATGGAATCTGATTTGCATCAGGTTATTAAGGCAAATGATGATTTGACTCGTGAGCATTACCAGTTTTTTCTCTATCAGCTTCTCCGTGGCCTCAAGTATATACACACAGGTTAGGCTAGCAAGCTATAAAATTTCATAGATTAGCATAAGTTTTTGATCATCTTTCTCAAGATTCTTTTTTTCTCTTCCTTTCAGCTAATGTCTTTCATCGGGATCTAAAACCAAAAAACATATTGGCAAATGCTGATTGCAAACTCAAGATCTGTGATTTTGGACTTGCAAGAGTCGCATTCAATGATACACCAACCGCGATATTCTGGACTGTGAGTAATTTAAATGCCTATTCTTTACAAGAGTACTCTTTTTGGTATGAAACCAATTTTTATTCCTACTGCTTTCTGATCACAGGATTATGTAGCTACTCGATGGTACAGGGCTCCAGAACTGTGTGGATCATTTTTCTCAAAGGTGACCATGATTTTGCATACATCATTTCATCAAAATTTTCAAATCCTTCATAGGGAATAGTAGTCAGTAGTCACTATAGCGTTGTGGTAACATTTTTTTTTTTTATCTATGCTTCTGTTCAGTATACACCAGCAATAGATATATGGAGCATCGGGTGCATTTTTGCAGAGCTCTTAACAGGGAAACCTCTTTTCCCCGGGAAAAATGTGGTCCATCAATTGGATCTGATGACGGATATGTTGGGAACTCCATCTGCTGAAGCCATCGGAAGGGTATGTGTCCCTTTCCACAATGCTTAACATAGCTGCATTGTTTCTTTTTGTGGCTGAATTGCTTGTTCTGAATGTGACAGGTGAGGAACGAGAAAGCTCGAAGATACTTAAGCAGCATGAGGAAGAAGAAGCCTATTCCTTTTTCACATAAGTTCCCACATGCTGATCCTCTTGCTCTTCGTCTTCTAGAAAAGATGTTGTCTTTTGAACCCAAGGACCGGCCTACAGCTGAAGAGGTGGTTCACACATTTCGTTCTTCACACTCCTTATGTTGTAACTTTGGTTATAGTTTACTAAATTATTTGGTTTTATGTGTTACCTCAGGCGCTTGCAGATGTATACTTCATGGGTTTAGCTAAGGTTGAAAGAGAGCCCTCTGCTCAACCTGTCACCAAGTTAGAATTTGAGTTTGAAAGGCGGAGGATCACAAAAGAAGACGTGCGAGAGCTCATATACAGAGAGTCTCTGGAGTACCACCCAAAGATGCTGAAAGAATACTTGGATGGATCAGAGCCAACTAACTTTATGTACCCGAGGTACCGTCCTGAGCTGACCTGCTTCATACTATACTCCTGTGTATTATCCATGTTGTTTTGGTTATGTATTATTCATTCTGCAGTGCGGTGGAACATTTCAAGAAACAGTTTGCTTACCTCGAGGAACACTACAAGAATGGTACTTCTCATAATCCCCCTGAGAGGCAACAGCACGCATCATTACCAAGGTATGCTTTGCTTTACTTTAAAATTTTGATAATTTGGAATTCTTTCGAAACAGCGCAACAAATTCTCTCTTTTTTTAATGCTTTTCAGGGCTTGTGTATTGTACTCTGATAACAATCATCCAGTGGCACAACAGAGTTCAGCTGAAGTCACTGATGGACTCTCCAAGTGTAGCATCAGAGACGAGAGACCTCGGGGTGCAGACAGGAATGCCCAGATGCCAATGTCGAGAATTCCTATTAACGCCCCTCAAACGATCCAAGGTCTCTCACCCTCTCTGTATAAAATGTTATGATGCAGAATAACTCTGTTTCCTGAACATTTATAATGTTGTAATGAAGCAGGTGCTGCAGTAGCTAGGCCTGGAAAAGTAGTTGGATCAGTGTTACGCTATAACTGCGGCGCAGCCACAGGCGTTGAAGCTCTTGAACAACAACAGAGAAGGATGGTCAGAAATCCAGCTGCTGCGTCTCAATACCCAAAGAGGACTCATCCTTGCAAAAGCAACAGAGGAGATGAAGATTGCGCCACCGCCGCCGAAGGTCCAAGCAGATTGAAGCCAAACACTCAGTATATACCACAAAAAGTGGCTGCAGCACAAGATACTGCAATGAGTCGCTGGTATTAAACATGATGTTTTGGTTCTAGTTTTAGCTTTACCACTTCACGTCTCAGGGAGAGCTAAAGAGTAGCCCTTTGAATCATCCATCGTGTTATCAAGAGCCGAAACATGAAGAGAGTAAGACATGGCTGAAGAGCGAAATGAGAGAGACATGGGTAGAAAGATAAAGAAGAGTCTTCTTACAGATCATGTCATGTAATTTGTCTTCATATCTTTATGTTCTTAAAAACAAGCTTTGTTTGTCTACGTTGTAACACTTATATTGCCTACAGTTCTTAAATCCTATGAACTCAATCTGATAAACAGCAAGAATAATCCCTCAATTTCATTGGATCTTTGATTTGTGAAAAAAACGCATTGAAAATAATTCATTGTACTTGCTAGATCCGATTAGATCAGCCATTATCCATAACAGAGATTATACAATGCACAAATCTTTCTTCTCTCTCCCATTCAGTGCAACCGGGGCTTCACTCGTCTACCACTCGCATCACAACCGTCGGCAAATATTTCTTTCCGATGTCCAGATGCTATAACAGAGTGTTCACTCAGCCTCGCCACATACTCCAATAGCTCCGTTAGTAAAGATGGGCAACTCTCTTTCAGATAATCAAACCCATCTGTTTGCATCACATCTGATCATAACATAAGGAAAGAAAAAACAAACACTAGTCTCATTATGTGTGAACAGACAGTTGACTCACATCGATTTTACAGCAAAAGGAATGATGATCTTTTTGTTTACCTTTCAGGTTCTCTGGCAGTGCCACAAATTTGAGACAAACTGCTTTTAGCTGGAAACAATGATGCTGCTCTGCTAGTGCCAAGGTAGTTGCAACCGTGTTTACGGCGACCCCTTCACAGAGTTTTGACTCACAGATAGCTTTAAGCCGCTCAAGAGCATAACGGTCTGCCGCTGCAAGCAGATGCTGAGCCACAAGAGTAGACGCCAATGTAGAGTCCGTGCCCATTAACTCTTGCATATCAGGCAATTCGTCCCAGTAGATAAAATGGAGCAATACCTGCAAAACAGCAATAAAACAACATAGAAAAAGGGTTTGTGTCAGGTTACACATCCAGGTCAAAACTACCAGGAGTGAGGATCTGAGCCCGAACTCATAATCCTAAAAGCAACAATGGGAAACGGAGAAATTCATACTTTTACATCATAGAACATGAAGTTTCTACAGTCAAATACCCATGAAATTTTAAACTCTAAACCCTCAAGCCAACCTCTAATATGCTGAAGACACAATTTATCATCTAGTTGACTCACATAAATACGTCTAAGAGGAAAAGGAATGAAGAAGCATAAACACATAGATATGTCCATGTATTAGGTACATAGAAAACAAGAAGAGAAGCAGAAAGAAAAAACCTTATCCCGGGTGAGTAAACTCGAGAACAGGAGTAGCGCCCGAGGAGATCCCGGATGGTACATCCGTGAATAGACAATCCTGTATGACACCACCATCACTCACCCGAAAAAAAAAAAAAAAAGGCAAGGAACCAAGAAATCTCTCTCTTCCTATAAGACCATGTAAGACCCATTGACTGTAGATAATCTACTTACACATTCCCAAATCTAACAGATGTATTCCCAGAAAGAGGGTTAAAGGGGAGACCTTGAAAATGGGTGCTTCCATGTCTTCTATCGTTATGCATTTCGTATTTCGGTCTCCTAAAGGGCCAAAAAGCTGTGCCTTGAAAACCGGGGAACGCGTCGCAAGAACCAATTTGTGTGCGTTGAATGTTTCTCCATCAAGTTGGAAAATAACATCACAGCCTTTCCCACTTTCCAAAAGATTTCCCAACTGTTGTCCCAAGTTAGAGACTGGCACAGGGATATTGTAATACCTCGGTCCCTCTGTAACTGACTTCACCACACCCACACGGCACCTAACCAAGAGACTATTTTCCTTCAAATAATCCGACGATTCTAGACTGGACCTTCTGAAAAACCGCTTGTATCCCCTAAACCAAGCAACCAACAAACACATTATCAACATTGTAAGCAACCAGAACATACCAATCTATCACAATCCCATATCCAAACATAAAAAAGCGTGAACTACTATAGCAAGCTTGAAACTTTCCATGCATACAGAGAGAGAGAGAGAGAGAGATATTTTACTCACCACATGCTTCCTCGATACTTGAGAGTATATGGTCCGCTCTCGAGTGCTCTACCAAAATGGCTATGAACCTTATGCTTCCCATTACCACTCTGATCCACAAGCGTGAGCTCGAACAAAGCCCTCACATCAGCTCCTTCGCTAGCAAGAGCTATGAACAAAGAAACGTAAGACGAGTTATCCTCCGGACTCTTCCCATCTGGGTAAAAGTAGATTGCCCACGAGTAACCACCGACCATAAACGTATCGGAAGCGACGTATTTGCCAACACCAACACCTTTAGCGAGAGAGTATCCGCAGATCTTGAATTCATGGAAACCATTGACGGTTTCTGTGGTAGACGTCGATACCGTGAGAGATTGGCTAAGCGATTTCGAAGATCCAGAAGAAACCTCCGAGCAAACCCTAGTTGTGCCCATCAACAAGACAAGGATCCCAAAAAAAAAAAGATGAGATCTTTGATTGATTCCCTTCGGACAAAAATCTTACACAGAATCAAAGTCTTGAAATTTGGGAAGAATCCAGGAAAAAATTTCCAGATTCAGAAACGAAATCAGGAATGAGAAACAAAAAAGTTAAGGGCTTTTGAAAGAAATCACAAAGGAAGGAAGATTGGAATCTGGAATCGGAAGGAGAGAGAACGGAGAGTGATAATCGGCAAAAAGTCTCCGGCAGAGATGGAGCGTGTAAGGGAGATCGATGACGTTGGTGGAAACGAAAATGGAAAGAGAAAGAGAGAATGAAAGAAGGAAAGTGATCTTTGTGGTTTTAAACACAAATAGTTAGGGAGAAAGTTGCCAATTATAAAACGTCAAATATAATTTTAATTTAATCATTAATAAAATCTTAATGTGCACGAAATAACATAGGAAAAAATATTTTTTTTTTCCCTATAATTAATTTTTGGAAATTTTCCCACTTCCTCAATTTCGTTTTGAAGTGCTTTCACATCTTTTGGGCCGTCGATTTGAAAAAATATGTTTATTTATTAAATCATATATTCTTTAATCTATTTGTCAATTTTATTGATGTAAGCTAAAGACGAACCACACAATTTACGAAAGTAAAACGTGTTTAGAGTTTTAAACACATTTCAGTTTAAAAGTTAAAACGAGAAAACAAAACCAACAAACTAATGCCTATTTTGACTTTCCTAATAGGACTGGCTTAATAAAAGCCATGATTTTTATTTTTTGTTGCATAAAATTTCTAGCTTTGGCCACTTTGTTGGACAATCGTTGAAAAAGTATATGATTAAACGCTTACATTCTTCACAAGTCAGTATCTCTATACTATTAAAAAGAGAAGTACAAATGTAAATGGATCGGATCAAAATCAGAAAATTGACCCGAAATTCTGAAATCGAATCTTTGAAAATTTTTTGGAATATAAATTCGAATTAATAATGAAAAATCGAACTAAAATCAAATGTTTATGGAAATCAAATAAAATTTTTTTTTTTTTTTTTTTGTCATCTCAAATAAAATTTGATTGTACTTATGGTAACTAATTATAAAATCATATTCCAAACAATATTATACATTAATTACCTATAATATATTTGTTCATATACTTTTGGAACTAATCTCTACTATACTATTAAAAGAGAAGTACAAATGTAAATGGGTTGGGTCAAAATCAGAAAATTGACCCGAAATTCTGAAATCGGATCTTTGAAAATTTTTTGGAATATAAATTCGAATTAATAATGAAAAATCGAACTAAAATCAAATGTTTATGGAAATCAAATAAAATTTGATTGTACTTATGGTAACTAATTATAAAATCATATTCCAAACAATATTATACATTAATTACCTATAATATATTTGTTCATATACTTTTGGAACTAATTCCATAATAATCAACGTTTTCACATTAATTTTGCTTATTTTAGCCAGTTATCATTAATTAAAAGATATCTTACTTGCTTCTAGAGATTTCTAGAAAATTTATCACAACTAACCCATCTATTTTATAAATTAAATAGATTTTTTGTTATTATTTTGGTCATGTAAATTAAATAGATATGAAATATATGTAACTAATTTTAATTTAATTAGATTAAACCGAAATTATGGTATTTTCATACTTATAGATTACCAAAGAAGTTTAATTTTCAAATTATAAAGATTTCTTGAATATGATTTTTAGAATTATTCAACAAGATGATAAATATTTATTAAATTTTGTGAATCATGAAAAATATTAATTATTTTTTAATCATTATATTTCACTTTTCAATCTCTCATCTAACAAATAAGATACATATTCTATTATTCCTATGTCCAAACTCCATTGTGTTGTATGACTAAATAATATTTCCATTAGAGCTGTCAAAACGAGTTGATTCATCCCGTTAAGCCTGTTTTGCAATAGGCAAAATATATTTTGGCATGTAGTTAGTCTGTCCGCACGACCCGCAGGTAGCATATATGAAACACAAACCCGTCGCGCGAATGTATGCTGATTTGCGGGGTTATCCGTGGATTTTGTTTAAATAATTTTAGAGTAACCAAAATTTAAAGAAATAAATAAATTAGAAAAAATTTAGAGATTATAATCTTATATATCATTATATTTATAAATATTATAATTTCATTTATTAAAAGTTTTTTAAACTACCACATGTTGAATAAATTATATTTTTATCAATAAATACTATCATGCGGGTTGATCCGCCAACCCGCGGATGAAAACCGATGACCCACTGCGAATCAATCCATGTGGCCCGCTTATTTGCGGGTTTAATATATTTCCCCAAATCTGCTCAATAGTGAGATGATTTGGGCTCGACCCGCGGTTTTGGACCTATTTTGACTGCTTTAATTCTCATGATTCGTCTAATTTTTGAATTCTAAAACACAAAATTCCATTTTGTAAATCATAATTAATATGATTGGTTTAATTATAAACAATTTAATATTTTCTTTACAATTTGTTATTAGGAATATTTATAAGTACACTACACGATTCGTTCTATTAAAAACATGTACAATATTAAAATCAACGTATGTAAATCAATATTCTCCCGCGGTGGACCGCGGGTCCGATCCTAGTATTATTTAATTAACACAAGTTATTTCTTTTTGTTAAGATATTTCTTAGTATTAATAAGATTGGTATGTTGCGGGAGGAAATTGGTTTTTCATTAGATTCTTGTTTTTAAGATTTTAGGTTCTTTGGTTGTTGTGATTAATCTTTGTTATGCGCTTCTCATCACATGATTGTCTTGTGTTCTAGGTTCATCTTCACTTCTCAAGCTTTTCTAATTTTAACCATCTTCATCATCAGCTAAAACACGAAGAAGAAAAAAGTTCATGCCTCTTAAAAGCAATACATCAAGTTCATGTTTCATCTAAGAGACTAAGACTAATGAACTCTTGTCTCTCTGTCCAAAAAAAAACAAACTTACACACACTTACGTTTGGAACGCATCAAGCAACCATAAGTGATGAACTTACACACACTTACACTTACTTCTTTGTTACAAAAGATGATGATTATGTGGTTGTGAGTGCCAAAGGGAAGCTTCATGATTCTGTTAAGCGTGTGGAATCGATTATTGATGCTGACAAGTCTAAGGTTCATCAGAGAATTGTTAGACTTTGATGGGTCTTTCATTTGTTTTCTCATGAGCTAATGGTTGAAATTACTAAGCATAACAAATTGTTAGACATTCAAAGCCTAAAAGGACACAAAGCAAACAAATTACTACATTTGGTTAAACTAAATAAAAAGGGGATACTTCACATTTTACCAAAAAAATAAAAAAAAAAAAAAAAAAAAGGGGGATGATGATCAATAAGAAATCTATAATAAAAAAAAAAATTTAAAAAAAAAAAAAACTAGAAGCAAAGGTCTCGATTAAACAGGGATGGGTAAATTCTCAAGCCATCCACCACGATTAATGAAGCTAAGATCAGTCAATTGTTGGACGGCAGATCCACTCAGCTTCTTAACCCACTTCACACGTTTTCCTGTATTTGATCCACTTCCGAAGCATCCATGTTCTGCAAAGATCAGCTGTTTTTCGTAGCCCGTTTGGTTCCATTCCCACCATCCTCGAGGAACAACCACATCCGTCAGGTTCGAGTTGTAAAAAATAACTCGAGAGTAAGGCCGCCAGGCTCTGCCCAAGTAGGCCTTGCCGGTTCCATAAACGAGGCAGTTGATGAATACGAATCCATTCGCGTCGTAGGGGTTGTTCCGTCCTTGAGCCGTTATGTAACCCTCTGTCCCGGCCGGTTCTAGCTGCCCACCTAGCACTTGTATCACACAGCTCTACAACCACACAAAATGTGTTTAAATCAACTAGACCCGGTTTTGAGTTCTACAATGAGGCAATGAGCCCATAAAATATGTGAAAAACCAAGGGCTGTTACGGGGTTTATTTAGTTTTAGGTTTTTTTGATAAATGGTTACCAAACCAAAATCAAATCTACAACATTCTTAGCTTGGATTAAATTTTTGATCATATCTTTACTTTCCATAGAAAATTAAATTTCACTTCGATTTTTTTCCTTTTCGGATTTATGAAAACATTCGAATCATAGACGATGTAATAAAATTCTTAGCCATTTTAAAGGCAAATCTTCAAAAGTTTCAGAACTAATTTAGATTTGGTATTAGTATGATGTTATTATAATATATAAAACCAATATCATTTTGTGGAGAATGTAACGGTTCACCTGGTAAATAGATTGGCCGCCCCCCAAGATGAAATCAACCGCGCCTTGGATGGTGCATCGGTGGAAGTAGTGTCGGCCATCAGAGTCCCACAAGGTATCTTGAATTCCAGCAAATCCTACCGAGTAAAAAGCCGACTTATCACCGCCGATAAACGCTGCCACGGCCGGAACTCTAGGGTTCTTGTTCATTTTCCCTTTGCTAGGGAAGTTGTAGGAATTCTATAAAAGATAAAATATGAAAAGAAACCCCTTATATATGTATAATAAAAAGAAGAAATCATCAGAAAAAATGCCAAAATAAATTAAAATCACCGTACGGCGAAAGTGATGCTTTTAACGACGGTGTTATCAGCGAGAGTAGCAAAGGTAGGGCTTTGTGCAAGCGAGTCATGGTCGTCCCATTCTACTCTCGTTAACCTTTTCCCAGCTCCCACGATTACTATGAACGGTTTTTTTTGCGGTATCACTATTTTCTCTCTTTATTTTTACAAGACATGGAGAAAAAACATTACTAAACACTTTCACATAAGTAACTTCCCTAATAGACATATGTAACTTCATTTACAGTCAATTAAATTTTTTGCTACACTGACCTGTAAAGGCCGGCTTTAACGTTGATGAAGAACCAATGAGTATTGTTGATTGGGACCGAATCAATAGCTTTTTGTATGGTCCTGAAATTTCCATGGCCCGATTGATCCACGAACACTTGTCGTTGGTACACTCCGAATGGTTTAGCTTCGATGAGATGAGGTAGACAAAAACAACAAAGAGCGACGAGACCAATGATAATTCGATGAGTTCCCATTATTACAGCTTCTGATTTTGATGAGATGATATCAAAACGTAAGAGTTTATAAGAGAAATAGGGTAAATGAGAGTAGTGTGAGGAAATGGATTATTTAACAAGGTCGTGAGGTTAATGTTTTTTAATCAATTGTAGATATTTTTAATGAAGATTTTATTACTTTATTTTCTTTTGGTTATGTATGGTTTTTGATTGTGTAGTTAAAGTAGAATCTTAATGAAACTGGAAAGTTTAGGTTTGTTTCTAGATTTGGTAATCAAATCTTGGTTTTGTGAGAGAGGTCAGAAACCAAAAAGGAAGTTGTAATCTTTGTGATTGTGGTATCTGTAAAAGTTATAGTGGTCGAGACTTTTTATTCGTTTGGAAATTGTTTCAAAGATTAAAAAAAAAAGATAATAGTGATTTTTTTTTAATAGAAATTACATTATAATTGGTAGGAAACTTGGAATTAATAATACACTAAATAGGTGTCTTAGGTTAAATCTTAGTAGACGACTCTATCCATATTTTAGATATGAGCCTCCATATGTCAAATTGAGCCTCAATAGGTTGGAAGCTAGTTAAGCCCACATTTTGACTCGAGTGTTCACAACTTTGCTGATGTTATTTCTTTCTCTTCAGGCTACATGTAGCAATTCAATTTAATTTATTTAAATATATCAGATGAATACTCGCGTTTATGCGTGGATTTTATTCATATACTTTTTTGTTTTTCCAGCAAATAATTTCATTGATATCAAATCGAAATTACAAAGTCAGACAGAACTTTCGAAAACAAATTATTACATAAGCAGTTATATGCGTCATATAGTGAGAAAAATACACAATAGAAAAGTGAAATTGACGATACTTTCCGTAGATAAGTCTTATTCGCTAATGGATCATTCAATCCATTATTTTCCTTCACCATTTCTGATCTTCCTCTAATGCGAAATGTGTGTGTGAGTAGCATCTCTTTGCTGAACCTCCATAATGCACACCGCATGAGAAAACCCGATGCTTCCGAAAATGATTGTGAAATGTTGACATGATACCTAGGATTCCGTATCAATGTCATTCTGAAATAATTTGACTTCCGTTTCTTATCGATTCGATCCCACGTACTTTTGTTTGTAGCCACCACAATCAAACGATCATATATCCCAGCCATCATTATGCTTTCCTCGCCGTCTTCCCATGGTTTGTTGAAACTATCAAGCCAATATTTGAACATGTTCACGTGTAATCTCCAAATCCCAATCCAACAGTAGCGAAGTGGATGAAGCCATAATCCGCTAGTTGACTTGCTGAGAATGAGAGGCAACCTCTCCAAATTATCATGATCCTGACAACGGGAAGTAACCCACAGTGTATGACTCTTGTTCTTTGTTTCCATTAAGCAGGCTGTGATGATTCTTTCGATCACCAATTTGACTATTTCCTCATCTTCTGCCAATACTCTATTGATGCCGGGATCAAATACCCAAGTGAAACCTCCATACCCTTGGGTAAGAAAGCACCGGAAACAAACCTTCTCCATGGAAGGACATCACGATTCCAACGAATGGACATTACAAGGGAGGGGCGACATTGTAGAGGGGATAAATCTATCATGTCTATCGAAGGTCTTTGGTTGAATTGACCCATAAACCAAAACAACGATAGATCCTGTAAAGAGACCAGATTCTGATTTGGAAACATTTTTTTGTTAATAATATTTAGTTAACTTATATATATATAAACTATGACGGAAATTCAAATTAACCATTAAAAATCATCTAACCAACCCAGGATCGGAGATGCTATTTAACCGCTATTATTAAGACTTATTTTAGTTAGCTTTTTTTTTTCTTCTTAAGACTTTGTTATTAAGATTTAAATCAACCCCAAAAACAAATCATTGTTTACCACATGAGGAGTTGCTTGTTAGAGTTTGACGGCGAGAGAAGAGATTAGACATATTAAGGATTTTGTTCATGTGGTTGTGAATGCGAAAGGGAAGCTTGATGATTCTGTTAAGCGTGTGGAATCTATTATTGATGCTGACAAGTCTAAGGTTCATCAGAGAATTGTTAGAATTTGATGGTTTTTCATTTGTTTTCTCAGGTACTTATTACTTTAAAGCAATTCCCATTTTCTCAGTTTTGAAACTTGAATTTGGAATGTCCAATGTGATATTGAAACTCTCTTTTATATGATGAAGATATCTAAGATTAGATCATTAGAATGAGGAACACAGAATTTATAAAGTTTCTCTCTTGATACAACAAGAGATTCACACACTAACTCTCTCTGCTTAAGGACTTCTACTTATGTTTTTGGTAGATTACTCTTGAACTTTATAATTTATTAAGTGCTCAAATAACTTTCTCCTCTCGTATCTCTTGAGACTTGAGAGGGTTTTGAAATCTGTTGCTTTGAATGTTAAATCTCTGTTTTTCTGACTACTCCCTATGTAGGATAGGATCTCTAAGTGAGAACCAACTACGCCTAAATTCGCAACATTAGCGCTTAAACTCAATATAAGCCTACCTAACCAAAATGATACCAAAATCTTCATTAGTTTTCTCATTATCCTTATGTAATTGTATTCGCGACAAAGACGATGGATCCGATTTCGGTTTCATGTAATTTTATCAAAGCCAAGTTTTGTTGTAAGATTCTGTACATTCGTAATGGAGAGTGGAAATTTTTGTATTACAAGGATTTGTAAGAGCCAAACTTGATGTGATTTTGTTTAGTACATTGGTTTATTGCTTTAAGAGATTACCAAATTTAGTTGTCTTTAATGGAAGTTATGTTTGTGTGTTTTCTACAAAGGGGGGATTAAGTAGGTCCCAAAGAGGATCCCTTTTGAGACTTTAGCTTCACACAAGAAGACTTCTGCTGGAACACATATGCTTGCAAGTCATCATAACTCTTTCTGAGTTATTGACTCACTAATTATTTTTTATTTATAAGTACAATCTAGATTTCATTACATTTGCTTACGTCAACTTTTCTAGTACCAATAATAATTCGTTACTTATCTAAAACATTAGTACAAATTTTTTTTGTCAAAGAACAATTAGTACAAATCTTCCACGGTTCCACCATTCAAACTTGAAACCCGAAAGCTAACGATCCAAGAGCTACTCAATTGCTAGACTAATAAGTTATTTGGCCACGTTATATTTTTATTGTTTTTTTCGGTTACATTTTACTAAATATGTTTACATTAAAAGAACATTAAAAGAAACAATATATTATTGCTTTACCAAACATTTTTCTAGAAATTCTAGACGCAAATACAAAGCAAAACAGATTATTTTTACTTGTACTCGTAAATATGAACAATCCCCACGGCTTTTCTTAACACAAAGGCGGCAATAAATCATACTACAATTAGTGATATAAGGACAATAACTGATCATATTAGATTCTAAAAATAGTAACTGACTTTTGCTTTTCTGCCTAAAACATTCAGTTTGTTTTTAATGGATGGTAAAAAAAGTCAGGGCTGCTTTGATAAAGATAAGCAACGTGTAATCATCATAAATAAATATTTTACCTTTTTAGTTTTACTATAATAACTAATAAGAAAAGAAAAACTAAACTAAAAACACATAAAGAAAAAAACGAAAAGCAATTGACCTTTTTTAAGGTATATATATAAAAAAAAAAAGATAAAGAAGAAGGTTGTAACATGTCACAAAAGTAGTGTTTTTTTGTTATAAAATGTAATTTTTGGTCATAAAATTGCTTGAAGAAGCATACATGATATACAACAATAATCTTGAAGTTACACTTTCTTGCACATTTCCTCTTGCGTTATTAGCTTATTTGCAGACTTTTTCTCTACTCTTTTGCCAATTTTTTGCTTCTCTCCTCTCGTTTCTCTATCTCTCTCTATATATATACGCACATCAATATGTTTATATGAAGAATGTAAACTCACGCTTTACTCGTTTTCTCTGCATCATCAACAACTCCTCAAGTCATTACGCACTATTCAAAAACGAGAAAGAAACAAACAAAAAAGTGAAAAGTTTTCGATTGCGATTTGAGTCGGAAACGAGTGAACACAACGAAAGGTTTATAATGGATTCAAGAAAGTTCGAAGAAGACGAAGATCGAAGCATTCGTTTGCAGGTTTTTATGACATAAATTTCTTACTTTGTCTTTACACTGTTTTTCAGTTTAGATTTTCTTAAAAACCTTTAATTAATGCTTCTACATTTTCACTTAATATTGTCCTCTTCATATTTCTTAACATTAAAATCAATAATATCTCAATTTAAAGTGCCCATCAAATACTTGTAAACTTTTTCAGTTTGTTTAATTAATGTAGTAGTAATTTCAACTATTTAATTTGCTAAAAATTATTTGTCTTTTGTATAGGTCTCTGAGCTTCAAAAATTGGAGGAAGCTAGAGGTTCAAACGACACCGTTTTCGATCTAAGAAGCAGCATTGAGAAAGTCGACAGCGGCGAAACCGCAGACGCAGCTTCTGTTTCCTCCGCGACCGCGTTTCGTAGAAAATCAACAGTCCCAGCTCCGGAGAAGAAGCTAACGCTATTCGCTCTCCAACTCGCGATTCTTGAGAAAACCGCCACCGGAATCGGAACCCTAGGGTTTATCTGGGCCACAGTGGTTCTTCTCGGCGGCTTCGCGATCACACTCGACGGTTCCGATTTCTGGTTTATCACCATCATTCTCCTAATCGAAGGTGCTCGAATCTTCAGCAGAAGTCACGAGCTCGAGTGGCAACACCAAGCCACGTGGACCGTCGCCGGCGTCGGAATCAGTAGCTTTCGCGCTCTCCGATCAAGTTCAGCCTCGCTTCTCAAGAATCTAAAACGAATCAGGTTCAATTTTGCATAAATCGAGCTGGATTCGATCAGATTTAGGGTTAACATTTGATTAACGATCGTTTGTGTTTCTCTACAGTGCTTCAATCTTCAAGCCACGATCGAGGGAAGCGACGGCAAGAGACTGTGTCGTTCCGGAGACGACGTTAGAGACATGGAAGAACTCAGACGTACCTCTTCTTCCATACGCGAGATGGTTCTTTATCTCCAGTACAGTGAGTCGTCTTCTTTACTGGCTCCAACTTCTATCTGCAACGGCTTGTGTTGCTCTGTCTTCTTACAAGCTTGTCAGGCATAACTATGGAGATGTTCATAAAGGAGATACGGATAAGAGGAATAGACAGTCTGCTCTCAATATATTCTACTCGCTCGCCTTTGCGGAGGCATTGTTGTTTCTTGTGGAGAAAGTTTACTGGGAGTGGCAAGTCAGTGTTTGTAATTTGCTTGAGAATGTGACTAGAGAGTGTGAGTTTGGGGTTACTGGTTTGGTTTCTATCAAGAGGTTTTTCTATGATTCGTATTCGAAATGTGTCAATGGGAGTATATTTGATGGTCTGAAGATGGATATAGTGAGCTTTGGTATGGAGCTCTTGAACTCGAACTCTTCTGATGAACAGCTTATTGGAGTGAGGATTCTTAGGCAGTTTGCAGTGACTGAACGGTACTCGGAGGATACACTTGAGAAGATCGGAATCAACTTTCCTGTTATTGAAAGGTTTGGTTTTTTACTAATGGAAATATTAGATTTTACAGAGAAATGAGTTGAGGAAGTTTTTTAATTGTTGCTAACTTTTTGTTTCACTAGGTTGGTGGAGATGTTGAACTGGAAAGATCTGCAAGAGGAAGAGATTAGGAGATCAGCCGCTGAGATACTATCGAAACTAGCTGGCAAAAAGCAGAACTCTTTAAGAGTCGCTGGGATTTCTGGTGCAATGGAATCGATTTCATCGTTATTAGAGAACACTAGATCATCAGGTGAAGCTCCTGATGAGATTGGAGAGAAAAAAGTGTTCCATGACCATAATCTACACTACGATTTCTGGAGATTCAACAATTTGGGCCTTCTAATTCTGAAGAAATTAGCCAAAGATCATGACAACTGTGGAAAACTCGGCAACACGAGGGGTCTTCTCCCGAAGATAATTGATTTCACACACGCAGATGAAAATCTGTTGAGGGATGAGAACGCAGACATCGCGAGGTCATGTGTTCTGACACTGAAACGGTCACTTCAGCTTGTGAAAATGTTAGCCAGCACAACAGGGAACACAGGGAAGTGCCTCCGGAGAGAGATCTCTGAGATTGTATTCACAGTTAGCAACGTGAGGGATGTACTGAGACACGGGGCGAGATACCCAAAGCTGCAGAAGCTCGGGATCGGGATATTGACCAACCTTGCGCTTGAGGCCGAAGCTCGGGAGAGAATTGGCGGAACTGGTGGTGTTCTGAAAGAGTTGTTCAACATTTTCTTTAAACGGGAAACACACGGGGATGAGGGGAATGAAGGATGTGTGAGGATCGCTGCAGGAGAAGCGATAGCGATGCTTGTGTTGGAGAGCAAGAGCAATTGCCTCCATGTTCTTAGGCTTGGGGTTATTGGAAGACTCGTGGAAGCACTTGAAGTTCCTCCGATCCGTGTGAACGCTGCAAGAGTGTTGAGAAACTTGTGCTTGTACTCCGGGGATGAATGCTTTCATGACCTGAAGTTCGTTAAAGCAGCAGCACCAACAGTTAGTATTCTGATATACAATTTCGATTGGAAAACTTACGGACAACTCGAATCTACTAATCTAGTATAACTATATTGAGTAACAAGTCCGGAAACTTATTTTCATTTTGTTGCAGGTCTTGAAGTCAATAACATCAGAAGACAACAAATTACAGGAAGTGATGGTGGGATTAGCAGCCCAAGTGTTTAGATTCATGAGTTCAAAAGAATCGAGCTATGTTTTCTTGGATTCAGGCATCAAGAGACGAGAACTGGCAAACTCGTTGGTCTCAATTCTGAAAAAGAACGACAAGCCCGCGATTAAGGTTCCAAGAATCAGGAGGTTTGTAATTGAGCTGGCGATTTGGATGATGGAAGATGATTTGGAGGATAATGTAGCATTGTTTAGAGAGATGGGTCTAGAGAAAGAGCTTGAGAAGGTTCTAGAAACTACGGCTGAGCTCGAGAACTTTGATGTTTTCTCCGGTACTGTTGGACTAAGCCGTCATAGCAGAACTGTGCATTCGCTAGCCGAGCTAGCCTTGGAAATTCTTAGAGGATAAATGAACCATACACCTCATCCTGCAAGATATCTTCAAAGCTCTGCATTAGAGCTGCAAATATGACTCAATTGTTTTGTAAGAAGAATGAATAAACAATGTACAAATGTGATGGTTATTGAATATATTCTTTAATTTATTGGTTTCAAGTAGAGCAAGCTTTTTTTCTCTGCCTCTCTGTTTTCCGGGAAAAGTTCCAACCTGACAGATTTTCCCGGGAAAAGGGTTTATAATATTAATATTTTTTTTTTTTTTCTCAGTCTCTATCTCTAACTATTCTTTTCTTCTTCTTCTGCGCAAAAGACAGCAAATAAACAAAACGAAAATTGAAGCTTAGGATTTGATTCTTTGTCCAAAGTTAAGGACAAAGTAAAGAATTGAAAAATGAAAACATTGCTTTTAGCTGAAGAAACATCTATTCCTATGAACTGGATAAATATAAATTACAAACATGACAAACACAGAGATCTTGTGATTATCCCAAGACAGAACCAGAGTAAAAGACCTGTCTGGTTTATTTAAGAAGTCTTTATATTTTTTTTGTCGGAAAATCTTATAGACATGGCTTCAGGAGGATCAAAGTCGGCAGCTTTCATGCTTCTGATGCTGAATCTTGGTCTTTATTTCGTCGTCACTGTCATCGCTTCATGGGCTGTTAATCACGGCATCGAGAGAACTCACGAGTCCGGTAATTAACACCTTAATTAACAAGATTAACACTTCTTAAATTATAATAATAAATCAATGTTTTAGAATCGAAAATGTCATCAATCTTTTTTGTGGTTTTTTGCAGCGTCGACACTGTCACTTCCGGCGAAGATCTTCCCGATATACTTCCCAGTGGGGAACATGGCGACTGGTTTTTTCGTAATATTCACGTTGATCGCCGGCGTCGTCGGAATGGCCACATCACTCACCGGAATCCTCAACGTTCTTCAGTGGGACTCTCCGAATCTCCACTCCGCCGCGGCTTCCTCTCTCATCTCCTGGTCTCTCACTCTCCTCGCCATGGGGTAAACAAAACTCACCATCCGGTTTATATTTTAAATCAAACCGGGTTTTTATCCGGTTCAATTTCTTTTCACTCTTCTAAGACCAAATCTAAACCGATATGATGTTGGTACAGATTGGCCTGCAAGGAGATCAACATTGGCTGGACCGAAGCCAATCTAGTGAGCTTTTTACTCTCTGTTTTTAAATTAAATTCTAACAAAATGAATTTGTAATATGTTTTTTGTGTTTTATTTTGTTGATACTTAGTTTTTCTGTTTTGTTGATTCTTTTTTGCAGAGAACTCTTGAAGTTCTGACAATAATTGTGAGTGCTACTCAGTTGGTGTGCACCGGAGCTATTCACGCTGGAGTCGGAGAAACAGTCGCCGCCGGTGAAAGGCCTCATCTTGGGAGAGTTTGAGTTTCAAGATTCTTCTTAAAAGCGGTTTTTCATTTGCTTAAGATCGTGTAATTTGTGTGCTGTGTCTTGCGTGTGTGTTTATTCTTTTGTTTTGTACTGTTTGATTATTATGATCATGTAAAATGATTAGTTGATGTGACGAAAAAAAAAAAAAAGAGACTGATAATAATATTACACATTACATTCTTTGCTGTCGCATCAAACGATTTGATTCTCTAAACATGCATGATCTGCATCTTCTCCGCCCATTCCCAAAAAAAAAAAAAAAAAAAAATCCTAATTCTGATCTGTTCTCACTTTCTCAGATCTTTTGGAACAACATAAACAAACACACAAGAGAACAAACATGCCACCGGAAGCGTCGTCACTACAATGATGATTATCATTAGGAACCACAAAACTCCCACCTCCACTACCACCACCACCTCTTGCAGCGACAATGATATCAAAACGGTTAAGACGGCGACCAAGACTTCATCTTCTTCAAGGGTAAAGCAAAAACACCTACAGCAACGATAACAACCTCTTAAATCTTCCATTTCTCACACAGGAAACTTCAACCTGTACAGACTTCAACAACTTTCAGACATGACACGGATGATCTTTAATTTCAGACATCAATGAAGATAATTGGTCTTACATGGTCAAGCCGAGTTCATCACCTCTGCCAACAAAGTTTCTTACCACCCTCACGCATGATTTCATAAGCAAGCTTATACTTCTCCAGAGACGATGTCCCAAACTCTATGTACTTAGAAGCAGCTTCCCTCAAACTCCAAACCATCAAGGCCTTAAGATCCTGAGCACTCACGCCTGATTCCATATCACGCACAAACCCAAACTCTGCGTTCTTGGTCCATCGGTGCAGTATATATCGAGATGGGAGCTCTCTTATGTCCAGCAGATTAAACACTTTTAAGATATGTCGACACAGAAGTCCTTCGTGCTCAAACAGTTGACAGCTGCAACTCGAATTGAGATTCGACGCACTGAAAGTCACGGCATGTTTCTCACTCTCGTTCCCGCATTTCCTCACCAGGAATCTACTGACTGCTCCTTCTTCATAAGTCTTTAAACAGAGGTAATTGTACGATTGGACGAGTTCATTCTGGAAGATTCTGAAGACAGTTAGCGTGTAGAGTCTTCTGCATTGTTCTTCCACGGGTTCTTTTGTCTGCAGAAACGGCTGCAAGTTGTAAGAATTGAAATCCTCCTTTCTTTCCTCTTCCCGTCTCTGCTCGAGTGCTTGTTCATATCGGGAAATGAATTCTCTGAGAGGCGTTAGAGCGTCAAGTGAAGCACCAAAGAAGGGCTCGATGGTTCCGTTTATTGGGATTCCAGCGAAGAAACTTGCTCTTAGATACGCGGGAACCCAATTCTCACGTTGTTCGTAGATTTCTCTGAGCCAAACATCGTCTCTAAGACCGTATTTGTTGATGAGAGCGTTCCAAACTGAGTCAAACTCGACTGTTGTCTGAGTCTGGTATATACATTTCTCATATTCATACTTAAATTCGCTTGGGAACGGTATGAGATTTTCCCGCTCTTTTTCCCTAATTTGCCAAGCTGAGTACCGATGATGTGCCCCGGGAAAGACTTGGACTAAAGCTTGCTGGATAGGCAAATCTTGATCAGCTACAATGGATCTAGGACGACGACCCGACATGGCACGAAGCCATGTCTGGAACAACCATAAGAAAGCCTCTTTAGATTCATCAGCAACCATGGCGCACCCAAGAAGTACGGGTTGCCTGTGATGGTTAAAACCGATGATAGTAGCAAACGGAACAGAGTAGCTTCCTTTTCTATATGAAGTATCGAAAACAACAGAATCACCAAACTGACTGCAAGCAAATCTTGCTCGGCTATCCGCCCAGAAAATGCTCATGCAGCTTCCATTATTGACATCCAATTCGACGGCATAAAAGAATCCCATGTCTTCGGTTTGTCGAGACTGAAAATAGTCGAGAAGCAGCGGATACCATTCTTTACCAATTCTATTTTCTCGGGTTTTCTTGATATGGTTGTTGCCGAAATCGTTTAGTTCAATAAGATCAACAGAATCCAATCCTCCTGTCCCATCGTCTGGTATCTTTTTCATACCAGCGTCATTCTTCTTCCCTGGTTCGAGGTCATGATTATGATCTTTATTGAGACGGTCGACAATCCAACCACCAGAGTCTTGTCTTTTGATCCTCATGTAAGCTCCACAACCCATTCTTGAAGGATGCTGAAACCCTTCTCTTGAACAAACAAACCGTCTTGATGTGATCGAACCGTCAACTTTGGATCGAAACAACTGACCTATACGAACTCTAAACCCAACAACTTCCGCATATGCCTGATAAAACTGGCACGCTTCATTAGCTGAACCAAACTCCAACCCTGCATACGGCTCAGTACCAGTAACCGCCTTAGGCTGCTGCGTTTGATGATGATCATCACTCACTTCTCCTTCACCACCACCTTTAAATCGTTTGAAACCACCCGGGCAGGACCGTGTTTCTCTATCAGACTCATCAACAACTTTCATCTTTGGTCTATGTGGATTAACAGTAACACCTAGCTTTGTAGGAGCTGGAGCTCTCGAAGGTCGCGGAGTCGTTTCCTCAACACTACCTTCACCTCCAAGCTCATGGTTATGCTCTTTCTGGATTTGGTCAAGAACCCATTTCCCCGTATCCCGTCTCTGCACACGGATAAACGCAGTACATCCAGTTCTCGAATTCAGCTGAAAACCTTCTTTTGAACAAACAAACCTCCTCGACGAAACCGTACCATCAGTTCTTGATCTATACAACTGACCAGTCCTAACCTTAAACCCCGTCCGAGCAGCATAAGCGTTGTAGAACTCACGAGCTTCCTCTGCAGTATCGAATTCTAGACCCACATAAGGTTCAACACCTGAACCTCCTTCTTCATCTTCACTTATACCATTGTTGTGATGCAAAATCCGTACAGGATATGCTTTAGCAACCATGTTGTTGAAACTAGTAAGCTCAGTATCTGCACTGCAATTGAAAAAAAACACACACAAAAGAGTGAATCAAAATCCAACCAATTCACAGTAACAAACAATACAATAATCAAAAATTGGAGCTTTATCCAAAACCAGAGAAGATTCGGTATCTAAGTACACTCATCATCTAATTCAGGGGAAATATAGAAACAAAAATAAGCCATAGTTTTTTCTCCCAGAAAATTACCTCTCCATTCTCGTCGAAGCGACCCAAAGACCAACCGAATCGGTAAAGGACGGAGATTGCGAGAAAGCTTGAAACTTTCAGCTATGTGTCGTCGATTGGAATTTACGAAGAAGCTTCATTTCACGACCATCCACATTCTCTTTGCGCGGGAAATTGATGGTTGTAGGAACAAATTAATTAGGGATTTCGGCGAAGACGATAGATAGATAGATAGATACAGATACAGAGAGAGAGAGAGAGAAGAAGAAGACGAAGCAAAAGCAAAGCAAGCCCCTTTTTTTATCCGTCAATTTGACCTTTTTTTTCCTTTTTTTCCTTTTTTTTTGAACTAAGACCAATCTAAAATCGATGTCGTCATAACATTATTGACAAATTATATTTGATGCTGTAATAAACTTATGTTTATTTACTCCAAAGTCCAAACCTTTTTCATCATCTCCTGGAATGACACAGAAATGAAATTGGGGATCAAAGTCTAGGGTTCCGGTGAAAGTATTCGACTTTCTTCTCCCGGAATAACTATCAAACCACCTTTCTTCTACGATTTGAGTCTGGCTCGATTTCGAGTTTGCCCACGAGTTACGAGTTAGCGATACGCCATGAGTAGGGGTCAGTCGTATTTGATCAACTTCTTCAGAAACAGAACTCGACAGAACCCTAATGCCCAGATACGGAGTCTAACTGTCGAGTCTCGTGATAGTGAATCCAAGCCCGATGAGCAAAAATCGGCTGTGAGTTATACGGAGATGGCTAAAACTGTGTCTACGATCATGAGACAGAGACAGAGATGGCAACAAACTCTGGTATCTGATTTTCCCTCGTTCGATTTCGCAGATCCTTTGTTTTTCCGACAACTGTTGAAATCTCAGAACAATGTTATGTTTTCTTTGTGGTTCTTCCGGTGGTTGTGTTCCAATTATGATTACACACCTGATTCTGTTTCTTTAAATCTTCTGTTTGGTGCTCTTTTGGATGGAAAAGCCGTGAAAGCTGCGAAAAGTTTCCTTGATACCACTGGTTTTAAACCTGAGCCCACTTTATTAGAGCAATACGTGAAGTGTCTTAGTGAAGAAGGGTTGGTAGAGGAAGCTATTGAAGTGTATAATGTACTGAAAGAGATGGGAATTAGTTCTTCGGTTGTGACTTGCAATTCTGTTTTATTAGGTTGCTTGAAAGCGAGGAAACTCGATCGGTTTTGGGAACTTCATAAGGAAATGATAGAATCTGAGTTTGATTTAGAGAGAATTCGGTGTTTGATTCAAGCTTTGTGTGATGGTGGGGAGGTTTCAGAAGGCTATGAGCTTTTGAAGCAGGGATTGAAACAAGGGCTTGATCCAGGACATGATGTGTATGCCAAACTGATATCTGGATTCTGTGAGATTGAGAACTATGCTTGTATATCGGAGATTCTTCATACGATGATAGCGTGGAACCATTTCCCGAGTATATATACATACCAGAGGATTATAAAGGGGTTGTGTATGAATAAGAAGGAGCTTGAGGCTTATTGTATATTCAAGAATCTGAAAGAGAAAGGCTATGCACCTGACAGAGTTGTGTATACTACAATGATCCATGGATTCTGCGAGAAGGGATGGTTAGGGAGCGCGAGGAAGCTGTGGTTTGAGATGATAAAAAAAGGGATGCGACCAAACGAGTTCGCTTACAATGTGATGATGCACGGGCATTTTAAAAGAGGCGAAATTTCGCTTGGTGAAGCATTCTACAATGAGATGTTGAGAAATGGCTATGGAGAAACAACGTTAAGCTGCAATACGGTGATAAGGGGTTTATGCTCACATGGAAAATCAGACGAGGCCTTCGAGATTTTCAAGAAAATGTCTGAAACAGGGGTTACACCCAACGCAATCACGTATAATGCTTTGATAAAAGGACTTTGCAAAGAAAACAAGGTTGAGAAAGGCATGAAACTATACAAGGAGCTTAAGGCCTTAGGGCTGAAGCCTTCTGGTGCGGCATATGCTGCACTAGTGAGAAATCTGAAGATGTCTGATTCTGTTGGAACTTCTTTAAATCTAAAGATTGCCTGACAGAAACTAATTTTTGTTGGGAGTCTTGTCTGACTCTAGAACTGTAACATTAGGTTGATTCATATCCACAAAAAGGTCAATTCCCTTTTTTTGCAGATCTTTATTTTTTTGTTTCTCATTTAGGAAATAAAACAAAAATGGTTTCATACTTTCATTGAATGATTTGTTAAGCGGGTAGGTCTTATCCATTTCGAAGATTACATGCAAAAGCACAATCTTCATGTAAAAGATATTAAAAGGCAACAAAATGTTATGGTCTTTAAATATGGGACAAGTCATGAATCTGAACAACTCAGCGACAACACAGAATATCAAAAGTTACATTACTACACTCACTAGAAAAAGCACCAGTTTCATGTTAAGACGAGCAGTTATGAAACTTTGAACACACAGAGTTCTCTAGAGACTTCATTTGCAGGCTCGGGATCACCGAATGGAACAGAGAGAGATGAGCAGGCAAAAGAATGTTTAATGTTCGAGGTTTTTCAAGCCAGACATTTTTTGAATCTCCTCGATGATCAGCTCCTTTTCCTCTTCGAATTGATCATCTTCGGAACCTAAGCAAGATTTTTAAGTAACGGAATGAGTCTAGTTTAGAAGGTAAGATTTATAGAATTTAGTATTGAAATAGTTTAAATCATACCTTTACCAGGGGACAAATTGTTGAGGAGTTCGAGTAATTTCTCATGGTTTCTTGCCAATATGATTTTCACTTCTTGCGGCTTATTAGGATTCGCAACAAAGATCTGTAAGCACACAAATATATAAGGTTTAAAAGGCTTCAAAATCTAATAATAACTTCATCCTCAGTTGTTACCAAATTAACTGCACTTTTAAGAAAGCGATCTGTTACCTTAAATATATGGAAGGCTGATACTTGAATGTTCTTGCTCGAATCCTACTCAAAAGAACATGAACCATTAACATGAAATAACGTATGAGTTTGTGAAAAATTAATCGAAAAATAAGAAAGATGAGACCACAAATTCATCGCCCACCTTCAAAAGTGTCATTATGACTTTCAAATAACGAACTTCTAAGATGAATTTCTTCATTATGTGGGAATTTGGAGGCTCCAACAGGAAATCCGAGAGAAGCTAAATCAACCACGAATAGTTCATTGTTAACTACACTATTTCAGAGATAAACATAGCACCAAAAAAATGATTTGTAGGGAAGAGAACCTTCAGTGATTGTCTTCTCGTCACATAATTTGAAGATGTCAAAAGTCTTTCATAAACATCAAAGAACTGAAATAACGATAAATAAATAGTCTGTCAGCTAAAGGAGAAGAAGCAAGTGTTCATGATGTATATTACATTTCACTATAACATTAAATGCTTCTCATGTTTTCATCTAAACTTGAAAAAGATGCTGAAACAAACCTCACTGTAATGAGAGGTGAGAAACTCAGAGACGACAGAGTCATGTTTTGTAAGAAGATCCTGCGAGAGAGGTAAGCAAGTACAATGAATAAATAGGCAAAATCTGAAACAATCCCAAGTCAATAATAATAGTGATAAATATCACCTTGAATGTTGAAAATGCATCAGAAGCAACATCAAAGTTTGGCAATTCCACAAACTTGAAGAATAACTCAAAGCAGGCAGACTCTAAAATGTACCTGAAAAGGCACTACGTAAAACTTAACCGTCTGAAAGAAAAATCTCGACCATTGCACGTCAGTGAACTCATTAAACAGTGTTCAAATCACATTACAAAGAGAAAGCAAGATATTGGGTTTGTCTTACTTAGCAAGACTTGGGAATTTAATGCACTCCCGAAGCATACTTCCACAATGCAGAGCTATCTCCTTGTTGTCATAGCTGCTCATAAACAGTGAATTATCAGTATTGAGTCAAAAGGTACAGATCAACTCAACTATAGAAAATTTTAGCCAGCTAAGAAAAAAAGAAAAACAAATCTTTACAGTATTTACCATACAACCAAAGAGTCGAGCAACTCGAAATGCTCTTCAAAGTATTGCACACAGCAATAAGTCTCGCCGACTTTTTGCTTCAACAAGATAGACCAGCAATGCAGTAAATCTTTTCTTGCCTGCATCATTACTCAACGGGTTCATAACAGATTCTATTAAACACACACACAAAGGGAAACAAATCTAAACATCTCACTTACTTCCCATCCCAAAATGTGTAGCTTATGAATAACAAGAGAAATGACATCTTCTTTGCAAAACTCTAATGCTAATTGTACAGCTTGATCAGCATTTGGTTCAACTTCACCATCTCCAGAAAGCATTCCTCTCAGAGAAGAAATATTCTTCTCAACTTCTTCCAAAGCCTAAAAAGACAAGAAGATAATACATTTCTCAATTCTTCAATAAAAATCCCACATAACCAAAACGCAAGCAAACACGAATCAAACAAATCAGTAAAACCCATATCGAAAATTGGCATAAAGGTACAAACTTTTTGTAGAGAATTAAGAAAGAGAGGAAACCTTCTCGAGGGCTTTAACTTCGACGACGGTCTTGGTGTCGAGAGCCATAAGACTATCTTTGATCGCTTTAACGACCTCTTGAGGCGTTTTAGGCCTAGAGGGCTTGAAGAAGGAGAAGGACATGAGATCAGATTCGGATTCCGCGTTTATGATGATTCTGAGCTCAAAGTCGGAATCGTGGATCGGAGGAAACTCATTCAATAGCTCTACGAACACAAGAGAAAGGGTAACACTTTCGCTTCTCTCTTCTTCCTCCGAGATCGTCAAATCATATGCACATTATTTTTTCTTTTTCCTAATTACGATTTTCTGACAAATTTGACCAAACGAAAATGGATAAATACCATTCCCTTTACTGTTTACAGGCAAACATCTTCTCTAATCTTATCTAAAAATCAATTGTGAGGATTTTTAGTCCACTAATTAGCAAGGATTATAGATAATTTTATCCTGTTGTAATATTTTGGATAATTCGAATTTGGGGATATTTATAATCATAAGTTATCTATGAGAATTGGTGTATTAGAATAATAAAGAAAATATTTCATAGAATGACATCTTTTAAGTTTTAACCACACATAATTAATGACACTCTTATGGATTATAAAATGTAGAATTACTCTTACTTAAAAATAGTGTTTTTGTGTAGGTAGGTATACGTTGTACTTGTACTAATATCGACGCATATAAACATAAACATAGTTTAGTATTCAATTTCATAATGCGTAAATCACATGTATTAAAAGGTTAAGATCTAAAGCA